GACCTGGCTTGATTCTATGAATTTAGCTTTGCACGCAATGAAAAGTTGAAATGTGTACTTTCAAAAGTTTAATTTTGAATTCTAATATTTCAACTAATTGAAATATTAGAGATCAAGTTTATGGGTGGTCTCATATTTTAAATTTAAATAAAACAGCAAATTCCTATTTGACAAAAACTGGTTACCTAAACAGAAAACAATTTGCATTATGAATGCCTAAATAACAAGGCAACCTCAATGCTAATTCTGTAGGCGACAATGAGATCTTATCACGATTTGATAATGCTAAAGGCTATTAATAATATTTATTTAAAACCCTACTATAGATAATAGATGGCCCATCAATTTGCTAAAGCATTTGTACTGCTTGTGCACATTTCTGTGAATTTTTTCATTATTTTTTGCTAATCAAACGCTCAAACATCATTGTCGTGTCATAAATTGGTATAAATAATGCGCAGACATGTATCCAAAACAAGCTGTGACCAGGATGAGCCCAAGTGAACAATGGAAATCATTCAGCCCGAGCCTCAGCCTCGGCATCGTCGTCGTCGTCGTCTCTGCTCTTTCTCCTCATGACCATCATCTCCGCTCCAAACAATCACTTTCGGCAAGGGTTCAATGCACTCGTCAGCATAATACATGTAGTGGAGTATCTCCCCTGAAGATGGAGATGGCGATGATGATGGTCGTAGCATAACAGTCAAAACAACCGAAAAACCGATGATGACAGAAAATAAACAACCAGCCGTAATGACTGTGGCTAAGAAACGACAATAACCATAATACCGGCAACCGCATCGGCCAATAGTAGCTACAATGTTGCAGCATCTGGCTTATCGCGACTGTTGAACCGTCTGCGGAGGAGAGGAGAGCAGTAAACTTGGCTTATTATGGTGACACTCAAAGGAGCTTTCTGGCCATTAGTTGATAGGGCCACAACGAAGTCGATCAAGGCAGTACAATATGGCTTTAGGTGGTTTCTTGGACACATGGGTTTCGTGTGGGTGATATGAGAGTAATATTTAATTTTTAATTAAATCTAGCAGAAAGTCAAATAACTTAAGCCCAGATAAACCCATTTCACTAGAAATTTAGCCAAAAAGGAGCTGTCTTGTTTCTTTAAAGGCTTCTATCTCTGACCTTCCTCAACATCCGACGTGGTTACTCATCAAATCAATTGGGAAACTAATTTTGATTCCAGCTTATTATTTTAAAATTAACAAGACACAACATAACATTTTAAACAATAAAATGTTGCAGTTAATGTCTTGCTTCAGGAAACCCACGGACATCCCCAACATTAAATCGAACTTCTCCCGAAAACTGAGATTACCAATTCCGATGAATTAAATACAGGAAATTAACAGCTGAGCAAAAAAGTGTAATTAAGAGAAAATTAGCGTCGAATAAAGCAAAAAAAAAAAAAATAGGCTGTGCGTGCGTGCGAATGTTGCAAGTGCAACTTGCAATTGTTGCTCGCCTCCAATTATTCGCTTGTGTGCGAGATCGTTGGATTTCACGGTACTCTATTGTTTTGCATTTTGCAATATAATGCAGAAAATACATCAATAACGAAACATGCAAACTTTTGTCTTCTTCTATTAGTGCCAGGGACACAAAAAGCCACAAACTAACGAGGCGAAATAAAATAAAAGCGGTGTGTCTGCTGTGTTGCCACATCGTGATTTCTTTTTAATCGAAAAAAATCACAATTTAAATAGCTCGCTTATGTCATCGCTGGGCGAATCTTTCCTGCAAATTGTGTTTTGTTTCTAAAATTAAATAAACCATTCAGATGCTGAGAAGATGACAAAATACCGCAAATACTTTTGTTCATAATACACTGCAGCTGTTTTACTGCCAACGAAAACAATCCGCATTCATTGATTGTTTAGCTGAATAAATGAACCATGCGATCTCCGATCTCTGATTCATACCCATCGAGAAGCTTCTGAGCGTTGCCAAATTGCTAATGCTTTTTACAGCGACAAGTTTACATAAGCTTTTGGCCGCTTTGGGTAGCCAAATTGTCTACAGAATTTGGTGTTTTATTACGCAATCAAAATAATGTATAGAGTTTGCTTTAGCATAACCCGTTTCAGGCGAACTCCCTTGCGAAATTATATAAAAATGTTAATTGTGCTTAGTATCAGTTTGGATTAGGCTATAGAATCTCCATCCCCGACAGACCTGGCCCTAATTCATTATGCATGTACATAAATTATAGACAAACTGTAAATTATATGGCCAAGTGGTTGGATGGCAAGTGGTTAGCCTTTAAGCCAGGCCAAAAAAGCAGGAACATTAGACGAAATTAGACCATAAATTCGAATGTTCAAATGGGGTGCAAAAAGTTAGCAAAACCCTAAAAGAAAACTACTATTGAACTTAAACCATTGCCAAGAGAAAAATAAGAACAAAATAAAAAGGAAAATGTTTCCCTATAAATTTAGTAAACGATAATTAAATATTAATTTGTTCTTTTAAATATGAAGTTTAATGAAACAAGATTACTTATCAACCCAAACTTCCAAAAAGAAGTATAGTTAAAAATTATGAAAAGCCAATAGAATTATTCTTCTCTAAAACAAAATGTTATAAATATAAATTGTTTTTCTTTTTTTCACAATTTTCACTCTCACATTGAAAGCATCTTGATAGGCGGGCCTGAAATCACCTAATTATTAGCACAAAAAAAGCAACAAATGAGTATGGAATGTATGAAAATAAAAATACATATCTTTCGTTGCCATTTTAGCATTTTGCCTTTCACATATGGGGGAAAAAAGATATATTTACAAGCGAACCAAACAACGAGATCTTTGCCTGGATGTGTGTTCGTTTTGTGGAAGTGTGAAATGGCTTATAGGCGGCATGAATTTTGCTACGTATTAAGAACTGCGCCTCAGCGTTTCTGAATTGTAAACAATCCAGCCAAAGGGGCAAACATATATGTATGAAATTTATTAATTAAACGCAGAAAGGAAAGCCATAAGTGCTAAATTGTTTACACAGAAACGTACTGAAGGCGGGGGAACGGAGACCCGAAAATTCGATGTCGAGGCCAGCTGCAAAAATACGAGCCATTTTATATTTACTTTTTGGCCAATGAATGAAATAGATTCTCCCCCGTCTGTTTTTCTTTTAAATTTTGCAAAGCTTTCAGTTCAGGGCCGAGGGGGCGTATGCTTGTTATTAATAAATGTGAACCGATAATGTGACACAAATGTGCCAAACACGAAAAGCATTCCTGCCTAAATATAGGTATATTTGAAATCAAAAGTCCGATGTCGCCTATATTTTCCATAGAACTTTCTCATTTTCAGGGTCGAAGCGTCATCATTTTAAAAATAGCCAACAATTGCATTTAAATATTTTGACACACCAAACATATTTGTCACTATTTAAGGCCGGTAAAAATCTGTATTGACATTGAAACGTTGGCGAAACAAACTGCAGAGATAAAATATTCAGAGTAAAATAAAATATGCTAATCTCAAAGTCACACAAACGCTGAAATTAAAGTCAACAAATTAGCATAATTTTGTCCTATACAAAACTGTTAAAAAGTCAAGCATAAATTTGCGAATGTGTTTGGAGAGTTTAATGATCCATTCCCGCTGACAATTGATTGTTTTGCAAATTTCGTGCGCAGACATAATATATCTGTGTGTTTTCTGCTCGTAGCTGTAAATGGATATAAATTGTACGATTTTGTCGGTGCTTTTGTTGTTATATCATCGTATAAATGATGAAAGTTTTTAATTTTTTGGCTAGCTGATGATTTGTGGAGGGAAAAAGTAGAGCAAACATAGCTAATTAAAGCGTGTGGCCAATTCGGTGAATGCATTTCGATGTATTAAGAGCAATTAAGACTAAATTGTTAACCCAGAGGTTTCACAAGGTTGAGGAAAATAGGTGTTTAATGTTTCAGGGGCCCAAATTGAAATTGTTTTGTGGCTCCAGGTGTTTTTCTCAGTCGTCTGGCTTTCAAATCTTAGCGTTAGATCATCTTAACCCCAAAGAAATTACCGTACAGTTTTCACATTCAGTTTTCACAGCTGAGTGTGAAGATTTTTCTGGGCTTTTGTCAGCGGTCATTTGCCGGCCAAGAAAAATACAATTTCTCCTCGTATTTTCTTAGCCAAACAATGACAGAATATGAAGATAATGCAAGTTGTGGCCAGTTCTAAGTGGAACAGTTGAGTTAGCCTGGTTAGAACTCTTTTTGAATATCATTAGCACTAATTTGAGTAAGTTTCTTTCATAAATCAGCAAGCCGGACTCAAGATAATTTACCCCAAAATATCATTACAAAATATTCTATAATTCTTTTTTTGTTGTCATCAACATTAATGTCCAGAGGCTTACACCTTTTTTTCTTTTTTGATAATTAAAGCCAAGATACAAGCTTTGCCTTTTCGCTTTTTTGTCTTTGGGCAGTTTTATTGCTACTAAATGATTATTGGGTGTCTTTAGCGGTAAACGTTTTATGGGTCAGCTCTAAGAGAACTTCTGATGACCATTGGCCCCATGGGGAGAGGCGTTAACGTGCTCCTACCGCCTCCCCCGAGCCTGTAAGAAGCTAAGACTTTATGGTCGCTTAAGGCTCAAATTGGTGGCGGCTTTTGCTGCCTGTTTTGGTTAATTGTTAATTCCTAAATCGATCGCTGCTGGCTAGGATTATGGGCATTAAAGTATTAATGGACTTTATCATTTGTTGTGAATTTACTGTGCACTGTAAGAAAATATGGGGTTCTTATGTTTTCTTTTAACTTAACTAAGAATGTATTTGTTTTTCATATGCGAAGCGATGAGATATGGTAGTATTTTTATTGAAATATTATTGATTTTTTTAAATAAATAGTAATAAAATAAATAATATTCAGTATAAAAAGTCACACACTTTGATTGTATTCACCTTTTTTAAAAATACTTATGATTCAGTGATGAAAAGACAACAATTAATTCCTTCATTCTTTGGCTTCTATTTGCAGATCCCAACGAAAAACACTTCGACCAATCTCCCACTCAGTCAAGACATTTCAACAGGTAAGCTGGCCAAATATAGAAAATAAACAAAGTCCCCGACATCCACTCAATCGCGCGAAAATGTTAGCCAAGGGTCGTTAATCAAAAGGCATCAAAATAAAACGCACAGTTTGCCGTCTCACACGGCGCATTGCATCATTAACGTTGAATCAGCGGCTACGAGATACAGATACTATACGTACTATACAGGCGCATATGCATACCTGCCAGATACAGATACTTATAGATCACAGAGGCAGCTGAGTGAGTGCACCGAGTGAAACAGCGTCAAATTGCATTTAAATTGAATGAAATTAATTTGACATGCAAGCCGAGTTGAGTCGCCGCCACAACTCAGCAGCTTACCTCACTTCACTTCATCCCAGCTCGGTTCGGTTCAGCTCAGTTCAGCTCGGTACTTGTAGTCTGCCTTTCAACAAAGCGTTATAGTTACATGTGTACAGCTACGCACTCCATATAGGCAGCGAAAGATACCAGCCACAGATACAAGATACAAGGCACACGAACTGCAACCAGATGAAAGTCAGTGCACATGTCGGGCGAAATCAAAATGACAGCCAGCCCATACAGAGGGAGGCATGTTCCTATAAAGGGGGCTAAAATATATAGAGCTGGGCGGAGCAGGCGCTCCGCAATAGATAGATAGATTCTAAACGCATACGCAAGATACAATGGTACACTCAGCTCAGTGTGTGGGGGTTGCCTGCACCTTTCTGCCTTTGGGTGCTCCGTGCTTTCTTTTAAAAATAACTCAGAAAATGATCTATGCCTGGCTGCCGGGCTGCCATTTCCCAACCCAACTCCTGTTACTGTTCATGAAATATTTTCATCAATGCTTACACAGTAAAAAAAAAAAAAAAAAAAACATTTTAGCTTATATTTAATACATTTATTTAAAGGATATATATTCTTCTGCGACTCAGGTACTGGGCTAATCACTAAGCCGTTCTGTCATTACAAGTTACTACAATGAGATGGCTTGGTGATATGTTTCTTTTGTACCTTTGAATCCTCTACACCTCTATAGTTTCTTTTCATTTAATCAAAATTATTTAACTTTCTCTTACAGCTGCCTTAAAATTTAGTCAAATTTAGTGTTCTGAAAGGACCATCTTTTCTCCAGTTAAATTCATCTCATATTCTTTTATATTTATGTATTTTTCCACTGTGTAGATACGTTAGCATCTGCATTCGCAGTTGCAATGCCCTCGTGATCATGTAGGCGTTTTTTCAGTTTTCCTATTTTGATTTCCTTCATTTATAACACTTTGCTGCCAGCTTTTTCTTCCGTTAGCTTTTTGTAATTTCTAGCCTGCCATTATTTTGTTTTTTTCTTTTTGGCGCCTCGAGTCTTTGTCTTTGAATTTCGAATTTTGCATTTCGCATTTTCGATTCGTTAGCATCCGTATGAGCTGGGAGATATGTATCTACGGTGTCTAGCAATGACTTTGGCAGGCAGCTAAATGAATGATTGCCTTATTCGTTGTCATCTTTGGGCTCCAATCGCTTTGATCTCGCTGCAGTGTGGGATTGTCTTAAAGAACGATTTCGGGTTGCCTCCAAGGTTAGTCTCCCAATGAAATATTGTTTTTCTCCCTTGGCTTTGGAGTTTTTTTTTTGCACGATTGGATTTGGTGGGCTGTGATCAATTGGTTGCTGTTTGTAAGAGTTGTTTTAGGTATTGCCTTCTGTGACGGCTCTTTTGTGACACTTTTATATATTAGCTTTGTAATAGAATGTACAATTCTTAAGGAATTGAAAGATTACCAGAGATTTTGATCGCTTAAATAGTTGCCTTACAAGATGGTTATTATGTTTAGTTATTAAGTATTAATTTAAATGAAGCATTTTCATTACATAAATCTTACATCTTTGACTTTATTTCTTATACGATAAACTCCATCATTAATCTGTTGAATTAGTAGGAAAATTCTGTAATTTGTTCGCTATTTATTATATAAATTTAACCTTCAAGGACATTCTCTCTTACGTTCAACAAGCTAACTTAAAGGCCTAACAATAAGTCCATTCACAGTCGGCCTTTTACGACCATTCGACACAATAGTTAATCAATTTGGAAAACACATTTGAAAATGCCATTTGACCAATTTGCCCGTAAGTACACACATTAGGCACACATTCTTTCAAAATTCCTCTGGGCTGGGCAATACTTTTGTGGGTGGCCGTTAAGAGGCACACCCAAATTGAACAGTATTTATTATGGGCAAATGTACATTCTAAAATAAATTCAATTTTCGGCCAAACTTTATTATTTGGCTTTTGGTTTGCTTGGATCATTCTGTTTTTGGCATAAAATTACAAACCTCGCAGCACATAACCGATGTGAAATCATTACGAATTGACGGCCAACTGATGGCGCTGCCAGGCCGACGTTTAATTAACCATGAAGCCCGGCAATCAAATGCAAAGCGTAACCACAAAACTGAAATTAAGTAAGAATCTAACACAAATGCCAGCCATAATGCATAGGGGAATAGGCATTAAGATACTGTCAGTGCAGAGTGGCCTGCACGGTAACAAAAAAGGTATGGCATTTAGATAATGAAAATATATTTGATTTACAATTAAAACATATATGCATACGAGGGATACTTTCTATTGTATTATCAAATTTATAAACAATTTATTTTGCATATATTTGCTATACTTTTTTCTCTGTGCATTTGCGATTCCGGCATTCGAAAATTATTTCGCATATTCGCTGAGAACAGAAAAGCACGGCCAACACGTAAGACGTGAGAGGGCGCGGCAGAGCCTCTAAGCCAGCTTGGAGCCAACACTGCATTCGTATCTTTGTATCTCTCATGTTTTTGTATCTCCGAAGCTTTGTATCTATAAGTCTCCCCCGTCCCAGCCTTTCGGTGAGCTTATGTAGCCCGCAATTCAAAACGCGTAATTGTTACACCCTGATTACGCGACCGCAGCGAACAATAAATGGAAAAAATATTATGGAAAATTACAAACTATACACAGGGAACTGGTATAGTTTAAAAATCTTATTTAATATAAATTAATAGCTTAAAAATCAAACTTAAATTAGTTTTATTTTCGTTAGTGGGAGAATATAGAAATTACTCATACAAGAACATGGTAACATTTAAATATGTCCCACTGTAACCGCGCTTATGAGATTTTTGCCTACCAAGTGGCAGGTTGGCAACAGGTAAAGATTAAGTCTGAGATACAATACAATCTATGTAACTTGATTGTTCACATGAAGCCGCGATTGTTGCAAAGTTTCGCCTTTTCGGGGCGTAGTGCGTGTGAACGGAGGACGAAGGGGGCTGGAGCTAAACTTGCATGCTTCGTTGGGTCTCTCAAGGTATGAGAGTCAAGTATTTTGCATGACACTCGTGGGGGAGTGGATGAAACCTTTAAGTTGCAGTTGCCAGATTGTAAGATTGAATAAGGGAAAGAGAATTTAGTGGAGAAAATGTTAAGCAGAGTTCATTATTTAATTCTAATACATAAAGTTGGGTTTAGATATATCAAAAATGTATTTTCTGTAACTTGCATATCAATTTATAAACTCTTTATATAAATTTTTCCTTGCTAATCTAAAGTATAAGGTATTTCTAAGATTGCCACAACATTCTTATATCTAACATTCTAACCAAATACAACTTTTTGCCACCCATATTTGCATGCACTGACCACACCAGTTTTACTTACATTCACCGGAGCACAAAAATGATTTGTAATAAATCAATCCTTATCGATTTCGATCGCAAGTGAAAAGTCAAGCCGTAAACCGGCAAATATCGATCGCCCCACTAAACGCAAAAGCGAAACAAAACTGTTCCACTTCAGTTGGGAAATACAAAAAGAAATACAAAACAAAAAACGGAATGAACACAAAAACAAGAATTAGAGAACAACAACAGCACACAAAAGTAGTTTAAAGGGAAATTAATTTTGCACGATCATTGTGCTGATTCTACTCATTGAATTCTGTTGGTAATTGTGTGTATCTGTGTGTCCGTATCTGTATCTGTATCTGTAAATGTATCTGTGCTCAGAGGGAGACGCTGAACTTTGAATGCGAATGAAATGGAAACTAAGTATCGATTGCAATTGAAAAAAAAAAGAAAAAAACTGGAACTTGGGGGAAGTGGCCGGGCAAATTGAGCAAACGAGCATAAATTATAGGCCATATGGCAACGCCGATCTGTCGATCCGCAGGGGAAATCACTCGAAATTAAGCTAATCAGTAGTTGGCATGGAGCAGTGACTCTCAAACTGGGATGCATGCCTTGATTGCTGATTCTAATTAATAACTTGGCTTACACTTTCCTATTTATAAAATTAACCGTTGCGCCAAAGTCCGTTTTTTTTTTCTGATTTAATTACGGCAGCTTAGCACCTACGGTTACGGTTCAATTTCCTTTTACTGGAATAGCTTTATTTACGATTTTTTTCTTTTAGAAATAAGTAGCAAGTCTTGCATAGTATTAAAACTCTTTAAAATTAGCAGACTTATACCATTTATATTTTTGTAAATAATATTAATTCTGAGTGACTACACCAACAAAATTCCCATTGGCTTGTCATGTTTTAATTGTGTTTCCCCCATACATTATACAAACTATTCTTCTTCAGCTGCATTTAATCATCGCCTGGCCTTCGCCATGTGTCACGGTTTCGCAAGCATTGGCTTTGATCAAGAAGAGTATATAAATAAACAAACAAACAAAAAATTCTTTGTTCCCCTCGCCTTAATATATATACATATAGATGTCGTATTTCCTTCTGTCTCGCTCTATTTTTGTTTGCACATTTAACTAATGCATTTGATTTTAACGAGCTTATTTAATGTGCAACTGCAATAAAAATAGTTTTTATGAGCTTCTCCTGCCTAAAATCTTTCACACATGTGCCATTTCAAGGGGGGGAAGTGCAGGCTGATGCAACTGTTTGCGACTTGACTTGGGCAGGCTTTAATTGGTTCCGTTCAGTTGGGTTACTGAAAAGTGTACATTATAGAACGATGCTTCACTTCAGCTTGAAACCTGAACTAAATGTGTATGAGTTTAAACTTGGAATTTCTCCAAAAACGTTTACTTACAGGTGTGCAACAGAAAACCTTTGCAACTCACTTCTCCACAGGCTTTCTTTTAAGGGAATAAAATACGATTTACTATAGGTTATAAAATAATTTCTAAAACAGTTAGATATAATCTTTCGATGTATGAAAATCATACTAGATTAGTGGGAAAATTTCTTTACACAAATTGTTTCTTAATAAATAAAATCTCTACAAGTTAGGAAGGGATTCTGTAACCAGCCAGCATATCCCTTGAAATTCCTGTGGCTCTCCAGTTGAACTCAACCTTAAATCCATTGACCCAAGAATCTTGCTGTACCTCAGCGCAAGTTCAAGTACGCCGCACACACGCAGACTTTCGGGTAACCATGACCACATGGACATGACACCATCTGCTCCGGCTGGCTGGCAGGCCGGCAATCAAGCTCAAGATGCGGCCACATTGAAGTTATGCCGGTCGCCGCCGAGAAGGGAGAACCAGAAATCAAGTCTGCTTAGTCATCGAACTTGGCCTAATGCAAAACACAGGCAGCCGACTGCCGACTTGAGGATGACTCAGCCCTGGACTGGCAAAAAAAAAAAAAATAATACAACAAATATCTGGGGGAAAAAAAAGCGATAAAGAAAGAAGGAAATGTGCTACCAGTTTAGGCCGAAGATCGAACTGAACTGGCCCGATGCCTCTGCTGATGCTGTCCTACTCCACTTCTTCGTGGAGCCGGGACCTCGGAGTGTAGTTGCTTGTTGGTAGTTGGCAGTTGCTTCTTGGCTCTCGCTGCTTGTTATGCCCAGTCATGGTTTGTCGGCTCTGGAACGAAAGAACGCCCTCAACAGGCTTTACTCCCGTGGCACCCGGTGGAAGATACTCACGGCGCACACATGTGTCTAATGGATGCGGTGCACCGGGAGAAGCTCGGAGGCAGTGTGCGAGAATCTCAGATATGATGACTGGAACAGGGTTTGCAGAAAGTAATTTAAGGGGGGATATACATGTAAACCAAAATTTTTTTTGGCAAAATTTTTTTTTTATTTAAAAAATAGTTTATTACTTAAAGAATATGCTGTGTAAGTTTCATCATCGAATTCCAACTTTAAGTGCCTCAAGTTAAGTATGCAAGCAAAGTATACAACTGTTAACGTGGGCACATCAAAAACTTTAAACGTCTTTTTCTCAGCTTCTAATTTTTGCATTTCTGCCCATGCTATGGACACGATTCAGAAAAAACTACGTAACATATCGTAGTGAATCAAATTTTATTATGATCAGCATGAAATTATCTTCTATTTGAACCTACATGGTTGTTATAAAACTGAGTATTACTATTTTTTAAGAGGGTGGGAAGTGAAAACTGATCACCTGAAAATGGCATTTTTTCCTTCAAATCAAAATTTAATTTTTTTGTCTTGATTTCTTTTTGGTTTTTTAGGTTCAAATAGAAGATACAGGTGTAATGAATACAAAAAAATTTAGTTTACGGATTTTGGACAGGAATTACGAGCTCTATCGTGTCCATAGCACGGCAACTCAAAGCTCGAGGCGCTACGGCATATGTTCCATAAATCCGCCATTTTGTAAAATATTGGTTATAACTAATTTTTTTTATCATCTCTGATTTTACTTTTAACTATATCCAAAGTTTCAGAACGATTGCTTGACTATTTCTTATAAAAAAAAATTCACGAAAAATGGCCAAATTTTGACCGCTTACATGTATATCCCCCCTTAATCTAAAAGTTATTGTTATATTTCACCTCTAATTAGTCACAAGTTTTTGCTAAAATGTTCTATAAGTTTTATATATATTACAAACTGGAATAGCTTTAGTTCAGTGCATGTCCACATTCTTGCCTGGGGTGTCTTTCGTACGTGTTGTGGTGTACACTCTCAATTAGTTATTCATATAACGTGCTAAACAAAAAATGTAGAAAATGTAAAAAAAAAGTAAGCAAATAAGAATCAGGGACCACCGCCCCCGCTCTCCGCTGAGTTGATTAAGGCCCGCATCCAGCCGCATTGGCTACTTATGTCTGTGAGGGCGACCGGCTCATCCTCATCTTCATCATCATCACCATCCATCCACCTCCGTCCTCAGCCTCGTCCTCGTCCTCCTCCAACAACTCGAACATTGTTTGCCCGTCTGGGCTTTGACAAAACTTTGCATGTCATGTTGTCATTATGGTTCCTTACCCTTTTCGCTTCCACGGGCGGCTTATTCCCGACAATCCCCTTAGTCTCTTTGGGCCCCCTCCTTACAAGAGCGGATCCTTTGGGCTGACATTGTTTGTCTACTACTTTGCACTGCGGTCCCTCGTGGTGTCTGCCTGCAGCCGGATATTCATAGACATTATAGGCACTTATCATCGGTTTAGGCTTCACGCCTTTTGTCTCAGATCCCTGGTGGAGTTTTTCTTGGTCCCTCGTTCATAACCGCAGTTTCCTTCAGAGTAAACAGCGATATCTACGGTCTTGCCAGCATATTAAAGTTGTCAAAAGCATCGGCTTACCCTCCATTACGAGCTGTAAATGCTTGTTCAACTTAAAGCTGAGAAAAGTTGGTAGAGTGACTCAAAAATACGACATCCTTCTAAGGATTTGTGGGCACAAGAGGGTGTTTGTCATGTTAAAAATATGGTTTGAGTTAGTTAAATATAAAAATAAAATTATTCTGATTCGGTAGCTAAAAATTCTAGACCAATTTTAAGAAGCTTAAAAAACTATAGCTGTATTTCTAGAGCATCCTAGAATTCCTTGAATTGGGAATTTCAAACATCTGTGCATCTTCTGTGTTGATTTCGCACTCTTCCACAGACGCATCCATAATTCGTATCTCCTTTACCTCATCACTGGCAACTTTATTGACCATTTCAAAGGCTTAAGCGTATTTGGGTCACCGGCACTCGGCTTCGCCTTCGTCTAGGCTCCTATCAGGAGGTCAGCCTTGCATCGGGCCCAACCGCTGGCGCGTATATGGAATATGGGACCAGGAGAGCTATAAAGCTTCATAAACTGCAAACTGTGTCAATGGGACACAAAGCGTCTTCTTTGTTTTATGGCGGATCGTAATAACTTCTATCTGAAACTCTTCAATAAAAATCAGAGTCGTAAAGCCGACACCCGAATAAAGGTAAACAGAAATCGGTATTGATTTGAGCTTGCACTAATTGTTTATGGCGTTGATAATGGCCAAAGCGAAGCGCACCATAAAGTGTGGATTGCATAATCGTGGAACCGAAAAAATTACAACATTTTGACCACTACAAAAATGGTGTATGTAGTAATGACACGAAATACGTGGAGAACCGGACAGATTTGCTTTTGTGGCAATCGGCTTGGCATTAACCTTTGGCATTTCGGCCTGCCTCTGCCTTTATTTATAAATATCTGTGCTTCTTATTATTAATGGATTGGTTATGAAACGATGTCTGACCCACGCCACGCCGTTGCACACCCAAGAAATGTCAAGTGTATGACGACAGAACCAACAGACAGAGCCGAAAAGTATCTGACACTCGTCCAACGCCTCGGTGAAGCGAATGCATCGCTCGGATTGCTTGGACTGCCCCTACTGTTGGGTTGCTGTTGCTTGGCTTGCCTAACAAGCGGAAAGCAAAAACATAACAGTAAAGTAAATTAAGTAAAAACCACACAGCGGCAGCGGCAACAGCACCACCAACAAAGTTACAATTGCAACGCCAGCAGCTCTGGCAAAAAGCAAGAACCGGACAGAGCCAGCTCTTAGATGATAGTAGATGTTGGTCAAGAGTGGCCGAGAATAGAGAGTATATGTTATATGTGTACGTGTCTAGTCTACACAGAGAGAAAATAATTAATATATTTATCAAACATTTTATGTTGCATTGCATGTCTGAGTTGATTCAGAAAAAGCATCTAAAGGGTGACTAGTTCTTGAAGATGCTTTGCCTGCTTCCTTGATTTTCACAAGTATCAGTTGGACTTATATCTTATTTAACCAATTTGTCTCAGTGTACTTGCGGCTGTGCGCTGTCTCATAACAAAAGTGGCTGACCTCGAGAATTCTCGCTTACGTTAGAAGCCAAAGAGATCACTCAAATGTATCTGTATCTAAATCTGAATCTGTAACTGGCCGCTTGCTAGATTCTTGTTCTTGTTGTTTACCATCCTTCGCTTCGAGCCTCTTCTCCCATGTCGATTTCATATGCCTAAAATTGGTAGCTTGCCTCATAAGTCGGCTGTATTCTTTTGGAGCGAGCAGTTGAGTTTTGTTTATCTTTTGTTTGTGGTTTTTGTGCGGTTGTTTATGCTGGTATATAACTGTCAATGGCCATTCCATTAGAGCCTCTTTAGGCGGACTCCAAAGTCTGGTTTTAAGTCGTTGAAAATTCTCAACAGCATAAGTAGTTAGACGCAGTCTAAGTTTATTATTACTAATTTTTGACATATTACAATGTGTATTTTTGCTTTCTTGCAGATCTGATTGAAACCCGTGACAATAACTACTCTAGAAACTGGTAAGTTAAAAAAAAAGATTAATTATTAAAAGTTACGAAACACTTTTTAATTGGAACCACCTCCGATCATCTCAGCTATATTCAAACTCAATGTGTTTGGCGCAACTTTATTACTTCACTTCTTTTGACGTTTTTTGTTTTATGTCGAAAAAAGTGGTCAACGACTTCCGCTTATAATTTTTTACAAGCGCTGTTATGGTGTAAAAACAATCAAAAAATAATAACAACATCCGTTATTAAAAAAAAAATCTAAAAAATATGTTGATAAAATATTATTATTTGGGTAACATATATATGTATATTTTTTTGTATTTCTACACTCTTTAAAAAGATGCAAATCAGGAAAAAAGTTAACTGAGTGGATCAGTGATCAATGATTATTAGCCATAGGTTTCTTTACTTTTTTGTCTTAAATATTTTTCCACCTTTACAATTATTTAAAATCTGTCCAAAAAATACCAGAATGATAAATTCAGACCCCATTGAAAATAATTTTGTTGATCTCTGACCGAATCGCCTGTTCGCTTTAATTTCCCAATTGATATTACTTGCATTGATTGCAATTTTTGTATAATTATTAGGGACTGATAGATGGGACAATCACTGTCTTGTTTTTTATGGTTGAGCAGAATAAAATTTTTTTAAATTATTATTCCTTCCACTTATATGAATTTGCTTTATTTTTAATAACTTTAACAAAATTGTGAAATACATGCTGCGTATAAAACACAATCTTATTTCTCATTATTAGGGGTTGCGTTTTACAAGGTCCTCTATGAATACAAAACTTACATTTGTATCAAATTGTAGTTTTTTGTCAAAATACCAACGAAGAGCCAGCAGATAATCGCCAGTTGGAAATGGAAGAATCAGAAGTTCGGGTCTCAGATAAAAATCTTTCACAATTTGCGGTCCCTGTTCGAAAAAAACAATCTATTAGATACGTTTATATGATGACGATGAAAGAAGCAACTTACCATGTAGGGGCAAGTATGGTTAATGTTGGAAAAATCTTTAAAAAGATTAAAAATGATGTTCCCAAATGGATCATATTTTTTGCGCATAAAACGACATGCATCCATTGGACTGTCCAGTAACCATGGTTTGTAACCACTTTCTTTTTTAAAAACCTGATAATGCATTATGATATGGTGCGCCGGATGCAGTATGGTCCCGTTCATGTTGAGTATGACCTTGTTCCGACTAGACATATACGCCGCCGCGCCACGCCGCCGCCGCCGCCGATTTTTGCCTTATTTGACGCGCCGCCGCCAAATTATGAAAATAACGGCGCGCCGCGGCGCGCCGCTGGTGCGGCATCGGCGCAGCTTCAGCGCGGCCTTCAGTGTCATTGTTCTTTATAAAACTTAAAAAAAAAAAAATAACTCATTAAAATGGCCTTTTTGCCTTATTTGACGCGCCGCCGCCGCCGGTTCTTTCTGACTACTACGCCGCCGCCGCCGAGTCATTTTGACCTCTACGCCGCCGCCGATGCCTTTAACCATCGGCGTAAACCTCTAGTTCCGACCCACGGCCTTGAGGCGACAGTTGTGAAAAATAAACCAGGACTCGTTATAGGTGGCGCAGGCAAAGTTCGTAAACTTGAAAACTACAGCTTCCTAAAATGATATTTTTTTATTTATTTTTTTCATGCTGAAAATTAGTTAACTTACGTTCAATCTATCTGATAGAAACGCGGCTAGGACAACACATATAAAATATGAGAACCGCATCGTATGAACAATAAATTCAGAATCATTAGTCTGAGAACACTGAGTAAACTAAGCATGAAATCAAGCATGACTTTTAAATCGTTCATATCTAAAATTCAAATTTAAAATTTATAATTTAAATTTTTTTTAATTGCAATAGGTTTATATTTTGCCTTATTAGAGGACAAGCAAAAAATTAAAACCAATTGTAATTATTGCATGTGGTTCAAAGTACTAACTTATTAAAAATAAAAAAGATACATATGATACCAGTTACATGCAAACTCATTTTTCTATGATTAAGGCACTCTCCTCACAAGCACGATTCCTTTGAGTCGGGTATTTCTTCTTTAGAAGCTCCGGAGATTTATTTGTTTACAATTTAAAGTGAACTAACTTGAAAGAATACCTAAATGCATAACAATTTTTATTACATTTGTCATTGAATAATACAAAAGGTAATAATTGAAAAATGAAGAAATACTTTTGAAATAAATATTTGCAACCACTTCAGATGGAAAATGAGCCCTGTAAAGTAAATTTTGATTAAACTTATTTGGAGAAGTTATATAACTTGATTTAAAGCCATCACTTTCCTTTTTGTGAAGTAGATTACAAAGCTAAGGAATGCCAACCCAGGGGTCATTGCCAATTCTCTTCAAATGAAAAATATATACCAGTGGAAATTATTAGTGTCTTATCGGTATACCACTTAATTAAAACTAGGTATTCGCCAGAAGGAAGTGGAACTGGAATCTGTGACCCCAGGAGGTGGAACCCCATTACGTAGACTGGCCCCTAAAAATCAAATAATTTAATTATTTTAATGTTATTTGAAAGTCTGGAATGTCTTACGTCGTAGGGACACGGCTTATTGAAGTTTGAGAACTGTTTAAATAGGTTATAAACGAGTATTACCACTGGTTCGTAGGGTTTTCGCATAAATCGACAGCCGTCTATGGTGATGTTATAGAGCCACGGCTTGTATCCATTAGCCCTCTTGAAAATCTGGCCGTGCACCCGGACGTTATTAACTGTTTGCTGCAAAGTCCCATTGAAGTTCAGTGTAGTTCGGTCCCGACGAACTGCCTTTAAGCGGCATTTGTGCACCAAAAGCACGGATTCATTTAGTGAATCACAAACAAAGTTGGTAAACTTAAATCTGGAAGCATGCTAAGAGGACAATTTTATTACTGCAAATAATACTTAAGATAGTGACTTACAACGGAGCCAGATTCAAACACCATAAATAAAACCAGGAGTGGTACAACGTTTCCTATAGTTCTCATCGCGCTGATCTGTTCCTAATGGATATTTAAACAAAATGCGTTCACTAAAGTCTTGCCTGAATGATCATTTTAATTAATCATTTTAGTAAGTGCGATTAGTTGGGAGTAATGACAAAGACCAATTACAAATACATTAAAATCATAAGATAATTAAACTATCAGTGTTTATTACCCTTGAACTTGTATTCCAAATCTGTTTTATTTTATCATCATGTCAAATTCTCTTCGAATGAGAAATAGATGCCTGTCGAAATCATCATTAAGTCCTTAACATACCACTTAATTAAAATTAAATATTCGCCAGAGGGAAGAGGCACTGGAATTTGCTCGGCCATGAGATAAAATCCCATTACATATACTGAACCCTTCAAAAAATTATAGTTGATTATTTTTATGTATTACTAAAGATTCTACACAAACTTACCTCGTAGGGACAAGTCTTATTGAAGACTGAAAATGATTTAAATAAATTGAAAACTAATATCACTGGCGCCTCGTAGGGTTTTCGCAGGAATCGACAGGCCTCGATGGTGATGTTGTAAAGCCAAGGCTTAAAGCCATTGGCTCTCTTGAAAATCTGAGCATGAACTCTACATTTGTTGATTGATTTTAGGAGAGTTCCATTGAAGTTCAGTGTTGTTTTGTCCCTGCGAACTGCCTTTAGGCGACACGTGTGCACCAAAAGCACGGACTCGTCAACAGAATCGCAAACAAAATTGGTGAACTTGAACCTGGAAGGACTCTGTAATAAATTGTACTCTTTTTTTGCACAGTGTCAGAACAGAAATGTATTACTCACAATAAAATCGGGTTGTAGGACAATGAGAAAAGCCAGGAGTAAGACCACAAAGTCTAGCCGTGCTCTCATGATGCCGATTGATATTTGATCTACATTTGAGCTTTTTAATGACTTTTGCTTTGGTGTTCGAGCTACAAAATAAGTATATATTCGAAAATAAATAATCAAGCTAATTCATCAGAATGGCGGCAGCAATTAATTGATTCAGTGGACCCCGCCAGCCAATTTAGAGAACCCCCAGCACTCCGCCGGCATCGAAATCATGGACCCAAACAATTGGTGTGCGTTGGCTTCTGTTGCCTGGCCAGCGATGCGCACGAAAATAAGTTTAGTTCGCCTCGCTTTCATGCTGCATGTGTTCTGCACATGTGCAGCAGAGCCACCGGCGGTTTCAAGGGGGTGGTGCATGGCATCCGCATTTTGTTTAAACTCGGTCCACTCGGCTTGGAGCAGCTGCTCTGGCCACCGGACTCGGTCGGCGGGAACTCTCGCCCCATACAAACGACGACATTAGCCTCAAAACCTTAACAACAATGAAAAATGGGCCTACGCATGCGTCAGTTTGTTTTTGCTTTTAGCCCACTGTTGAAAGATCAAAGCCAATATTATACAAGCACCGAAGGTAGAATAAAGAAACCTAAATACTCTATGCTGTTTTTTAAGTTATCTATAAAATCTATTAAGACACTAGTGGTTTTTAAATGAGACATTTTGTAATCCTATCTTGAATAATGTTATTAATTTGCTTTAATCAGGATTTTAAATATTTAACTACAGGGCTTAATTTTCATACTAAAAAAAATGCATGACCAAATTGTGGCAAATTATTTCTGGAAGTTATTTGATTTTCCCTTGGCTTCTTCACTTTGGCATATCGAATTGAGCATTCCGTCACGCCTTGAAACAAACTCGATTTATAAATCCAAACCGTGTTATCCATGTATGCAATTTTAATTCCAGCCTCGGAATATTCTCGGGCAACCTTTTCTTTTTTTTTTTTTTTGTTGCTGTAAGTTCTTTCGGTTCTGGGGCTGGTCTGTGGGGCGTGTCCCGCGGCTCTGGTTCTGACTTCTGGTGGGTGTGTACGAATTTAAATTTTTAACATGTAACTCATTTTTAATGCAAATAAAATAACTTTTCACCGCGCGAAATGGGTCAGGCAGAAAAGTGAGCGTGTGCCGAGGGTCGAGGGATTGATTAAATAAAACCCACCGCGGCTATATTCGCTAATATTAATGAAGAAATTTGACTGTCTGACATTGGGCCTGGGGTTTCCAGTCTTGTCTTGGGGCTAATGAAGCGAGCGGAGTTCAGAGATCAGTGGCCAACAACACAAAAAAAAAAAAGTAAAATAAACACACAGTCCAGATGGCAAACCAATTTGCTGGCAATTGCAGGCACCAGACGGCAGTTGGCCTAACATGCAACTGTATCTGAGCGATACAGATACAAATGCTACGAAATTGAAATCAAATTGCCGCTAGAATGCAAGTGCCGTACATTGTTTGATTTTCCTTTCATTTGCTTGATTTTTCGCAATTTTCCTGCTGATTTGGCAAACTTTTCTGCCTCCGGATAGAGTTAGTAGTAGATTTCTGCACAGCAAGAAAAATGCCTTAACTTGAATGTTTAATAGCTGCTTGAGAAGGTTATCAAATGGATATATTTTTCGCCTGTGTACTGGCAAAGATAGAGACATGCATGTCACTGGCAAACAGCTACAAATTGCAACTCAGCGCAAGAAGAATGTGCCACGATAAGTCAATAACTATTATTAACATAAGCTGACGCTGCCGCTGCCGCTACCGCGCAGTAACTCACCGATTCAGATGGCGATTTCCAGATACAGATACAAACGTACTAGCTACGTTTTTTCAATTGCCACCGATTGTATCTCGTTGGAGCGAAAGTGCATTTCGGTCTTATCGATATTGAAATGTTAATGAACTGAAAATTTTGCGTGTCCAATTGTCGAACAGTTCGCGCTGGGTATGTTTTTCTGAGATCGCCGCTCAGATCGCGGCACCGTGATAATTGCCCAGCTATGTACAATGATATACCACTAACATACAGAGATTGCCATTGCCGAGATTGGAAAGGTAGGCAGCAACGAAAGACAAAGACCAAGACCAAGACCAAAAAACTCTGACTCGAACTGAAAACCCATTCGAGACTTCACTTCACACTTCGCTTTCCATTTTGTTGTTTTCTGGCCACGCTTGAAAGATATTTCAATTATTGCAATCGAAAAATGAGTGGGCCAAATAGAAAAAAATAAGAGTGGTGGCTCTAACAAAAGGGTTAAAATAGATTTCCAATATGCATTTTGTACATTTCAATCATTTTATCACGGAATCTATACAAATACTCTGGCAATTTTCCTTTTCGCTGGCAATTTTGATTTGTTTTCAATGTTGAGGCAAAAATATACACTTGAATAATAGTTTGTTTATTGCTGAAATGTATTATTAAATTGTCTTGAATATTTGTTACTAGAACCTATGAAGTTGCAGGTGATTGTGGCAATATATATTATCATTTTATAGCAAAACTTTTCATATTCTGATGATCTTAAGGCTTAAAGATCTGATAAACAATCCCATTCCTTTAACAAATAATTCATTGGCTAACATCACTTGACCCCTCGTCTGTCATTACACAACCCCCGGGAGAGTGAAAACGAGACTTAAATTGAAATGCCCGTGGATGGTGTGCATGTACATATGTTTTGGCCCGGCCTGTCGCCTAATGTGCCTGATATCTCGCGGATGCACGTAACTTGTGGCCACGAAGAAAAGTATTCATTGAAGCGCACGAAACGGCCGTCGTCTCGATTTATTAGCCAGCCCGCAGCCCCACCAGAGGGGGTGGTGGTGGTGCTGTTGGGAGGTGGCTTGGTGGGCTGGTGGGTTCGGCTTCGTGAGTGATGGCTGCACATCAGCGACCACAAAACAAACGGCGACACTTTCAATTCCACGCCTCGAGCTCGGATTCGGATAGTGAATCGGATTCGGGTTCGGGGAATGCAGATTGAAACGGGAACTTGGACCTACACAGAGAGAAATGTGTGAAAAATTTGACTTTTTTGAGGAAGAATCTAGGTTAAATCGGTGATTTCAAAGAGCCTTGAGCTAAAGATGATATATTTTATATGTAATTTAATCTCTATACCAATTGTATCCTTTATTAAAATCGGTTTTAAAATATTTTAAAAATGTTTGGAACCTTATCACAAAAGTTATATTCAAATTATTGATCGATTTAAATGCATTTTTCTCAGTGCTGCGGGCACTTTCTCGGTTCGCGCTTTGATTTGTTTTCTTCGGGTTTTCTTGCTTTATTTTTATGGCTTCTTTTGGCGCAACAATTTGAATGTCATTAGTGTCACTGGCCGGCAGCTAACAGAGCTTGACACCATCTCGTCTCCGCCACCCAGTGCCGAGTGCCCACTGCCCACTATCCTCCACCTCTAGTGGTATATTTTCCAGCGCCGACCCACTCCACCCACTCCACTGTGTGATTTTTCTTTTTCACACTTTTCAACGGCTGAAGCCCAACTTTAAGTTAAAGTCACGTTAATCATTTATTACAATGCCACTTTCCAGCTGGTCAGCTGTGCCCGCTGCTCCACTTTTGCCTTGGTTACCGAATCGCGGTTACTCGAAAGTGTCGCCGGCTCCATTTTAATGCACTCGCTCCGCTCAGCAGATCATTAGCGTAGAGTTGCTTATCTAAGCGGCTGGCAACGGAGTACCTACAGTTATTATTTGCTTTCCCTGCGGACTCCGGGGAAAACAACACACAGGCCCGGCCCATTGTACTGCTCCATAATCTAGATTTTACTTGGCTGATAAGCTAATACGTTTGCCCCTCTTTAGATCGAAATCCCTGATAAATATTTAATTAGATATTTTGCTTTTACAGAGCGTTCTGCTTATTGTTTGTCCGTCGTCTTTCAAGTAACAAGCACACAATGGTCTTCTCTTCCAGAGCCACAGATATCTGTTTGTTTTCGCATTAGACGCTGGCAAACACGCGGAGCAAAGAAGCTTCTTGTTGTGATAGAGTGCCTGTAATATGCTGATCCAGCAAGATCTCATCTCGAGATGGGGCCAAGGATGGGTCTGATAATAGTTTAAAAATATTTGCAAATACTTAGGGTTTGTTTTTTGGTATAAACAAGAATTTGAGAACTTAAAAAAAACCACTAATTATTATTAGTTTATGGAGTGTTTCATCAATATGCTTAGATGAGTTGAAACGTGCCATTATGCTAAAGCTTAAGATTGTTTTGTCTTGACCTTGTTCAACACAAACAGAAGTCTTCTTGGACCATCAAAAAACCTAGCCACTTTTTGTGACTATCAACTAATAGTTCCCTAATTCAATTTTTACATTTTAATACTTGGTTCTTTACAAAATAATAGATACTTCCAGGCCAAGATCCCTCAAAGCCTTGCCCTTGTTTGCCGCTAAAACACAACTCTGTACGAATCGTTGAGGCTTGGAGCTTTTCTTTGACGTCGGCAATCGGCGGCTTTGAAGTGGCTCTAACCGCTGCTGCTGCTAATTAGCTAAAACACAGACCCAAAGTCAACGGCAAAGAGACAATTGCGAGGCATTTACGCAAAGAATTCCCCCTCTCTGCAAATATCTCTCACTCTTTCTCGGTTCTCGAGACTCTGCCATCATCATAGTCGCCATTTCATCAATTAATTCAGCGCCTGGGCCCCTACGAAACACATCTTGATACAATTTATAACTGAAAGCCGACAAAACGGGGCTGGGGTTACTGCTAAGACATATCCATCTAATGTTACCGCCTCGACTTGAGTCGCGATCTTGGCTCGCGTCTGGTCTCGCGATTGGCGCCATTGAGATAAGCTGCGACGCCGATTTTTTTAGAGCCATTTTATCTAATTATCATTTTGCTTGCTTAATAATTATTGCTAATGCGTCGAGACTCGGAGGCAAGCAAAGCCACGCTTGGGAAAGTCGGTGGGTTTTTATTTTTATGTAAAAGGTAAAGCCAAGCTCTGGCTTTCTGTTTAATTTAAATTATTGCAATTTTCTGCTGACGTCGTCGTTGGCCTGGTCATTAAAGTTATCCATTGAAGTTGTTGGCTTGTTGTCGCCGTGTTTTTTTTGTCATTAGGCTAGCAGAAAACACTAAAAGAAAATAGTGAGAATACTTAGCTAAGTTTAAATATTTAAATGCATTTTTGTAAGGGCTTTATAGACGACCTTTTTAAGTTAACCAAATAATTCTAGTTAATAGAATATTTAAAGTTTAAGCTTAAAAGATTTCAAATTAATTTTATAAAATTTCTTTCTACATTTTTGAAGCATTTTCCCACCGTGTATAGACATTGCAGCCGTTGCAGTGGGTTAAAACCTCCGGGCACATAGTTAATTATTACAATTTGAAAGTTTTGCTTTAATTGTTGCTGGCTCTCAGTTAAAGTTATCTGTTGGATCTAATGCCTGCGTTGTTTGTTGTTCACTGCATTTTCTATGCAAATTAGCAAATCTACAACATCAACAACAACGACTAGTGCTCAGCATCGGAGATCACAGCCCATGTTGATTAGCCTCGTGCCATCTTGAGTCTTTTGCGCCGACGAGTCTTCTATCTCGAGTGCCTGTCTTCGCCACTCAACACGACGGGAGTGTTGAAAAATGTTGGCATATTTGTGTTGATCAAATTTGACAGAGAGATCTTAAAATGTAATCATGATCTTTGTGGCAATTCAGGCGAATCAGGAGTTTTGCGACCAAACGTTGGTTAATTACAAATTGATGTTACTATTTCGTATCCCAACTGAAAACTCAGCTTCAACTGCAGATAATTTATCAAGACTCCAGGAGAACTCTTTCCTAATGATCAGCTCAAGTTTCGATTTGTTGTTTGCTTTCCATAATACAGGAAGCCATGGGCATACCTAATACTTATCAGCTGTCATATTAACCTCATAATTACGACAGATACAGGTCCGAGCGCTCTTCCTCCCGACGGCAGTAGCCCGCCTTTCCCGCAACCTTTTGAACCCACTGTCGAGGAAAGACTCAAAGTAGCATGCAGCGTTGCATTCACAAAAATTAATAAACAAGCTCGATTACAAGCTGGGGAAGCATGCCAGAATACTTAATAGTTATTAATTAGTAGTAGGGAATGAAAAGCGTAGCAAAACGATCAAAAAATACCGGGTCACATGGAGTGAATGGAGGGCAGGAAAAATGGGGAAAACTTACGGAATGGGAAGAGTCGTAGGCAGACAGATGGATGACGAACGATGCGGATGACTGTGTGGATGGATGGCGATGGGGTTGGGGATGTAAGATGTACACGATGACGATGATGACTGTGGCAGAAGTTTATAAGATTGACCCGCATACCAGCGTGTGGGACCCAGGCAAGTGGATGCGGCAGCCAGAGCTAGAGCTATGGCACTGCTAGCGGCAGAGGCAGAGCCACATCCACTCAGACACAAGTTGCACAATTAGATAAAGCCTCTTATGGATGCACTTTGATGAATGTTAATTGAACTCCACGCTGTACTTTTCGAGCATTGTTCAGCTGGCAGTTGAGGAAATGCCAGAGACTTTTCCACAGATCCTTCACGGATCTGCCATGCCAGAAACTGGCTCAGCTAAACACCGACACCTGTCCATGGGGTCGGGGTTGATGGCTGCCAGGTGAATCCGGCACTCAAGTTCCAACAGCTTTTTTAATAATATGCGTTCAAGGTACTCAATGATGTGTTTCTGTTATCTTGCAGCTAATGAAATCGGACACCTCCGTGGCCCCCGCCCGATGTGCGTGGGTGGTGGCGCATCGCATCTGAGTAGGAATCAATTCTCGAGCGCGGAGACATGCTGAGCCAGTGATTAGGGGCCGAAGAACCCGCGTAGGAGTCCGCTGCCATGTGAGCAGAGCCCATCTCTCACCTCATCTCAGTCCGAAGCACACAAGAAGCCCAAACGGGAAGTTACGGAGAGCGCCAGCGCCAGGCGACAGTTGCCCAGAGACAGGTTGCAGTAACATTCAACACCAGAATGGAGGCCACCGAACAGGATGTCATGCTGGAGGGCAGCGAAGACCTCATGTCCACATCGGCCACGTCCACAAATGGTAGCGACACAAACGGTTGCGGCAAGAAATCGGTGAGTTAAAGGCCTAGGCTTAAGATTTATTGGGGTTCTCTTGGCAGAGGGTTAAGTATGTATATTTAAATATATAGAGCGAATATCACTTTACAAAGAGACTGATTGAGAAGTGAGTGGTTATTCTCTCTCTCTGTTTTTTAAACTAAGTTTTCACTTTTTGGCTGAGTGCTTTAAGGGCCTGTTTTCCTAGAAAGAACACTCTTGGGGCTTGGGTTTCCACATCGAAGTTCTGAGTTCCAGACGGTTTTTGTTGACGGAAGTATTTGCGGAGAATGAGCTATGGATGGGTGGCCAAGCCTCGCTTGACTTTTGCTACGCTGAGTTATAGACCACTTACAGACATGAATACTCGTACTTACATAGCTTAGGTACATACATATGTGGGTGGGTTGGTGGGTCAAAGCACTTGAAATACGGCTGAAAACCTCTGAAGCCAACAGTTGAAAAGTAAAAGCACACAATAGATGAAAGCGGAAAGTAATAGAACAGAAAAAGAACATAAAATTTTGAAAGTGCCTCGTAGGCTGTTCAAAATGTTTGGGAAAGAGAGTGGGAATAAACACTTAAACCTATTCCAAGTTCGAGCTAACTCAGTTCCAGTTTACAACGCAGTAAATCAAACAAATGGCGTAAAACAGTTTAAAATGGGGCCTTATTTTCCGAACTTCTCGTAAATATTACTCTGACTCATCGCCAGAGCTTACATAAACTTTCGAATATTGTAAATATTTCGCCAAAACAAATCACTTAAGGACCCAAGGTTTTCCTTGGCTTGGCTGAAGTATTTAGCCAATCAGAATGTCCATATAAGTCGTCGCTGAATATTTTATGCAATTAAAGGCAGTTCAAGGCAACAGTGCCAGCAGTTCGCCTGCCAGCTTAATAAGCAAAATACTTAATAGGATTTAAGAGCACATATAGGCACAGGCTGCCCACACACACTTGGTAAATATGGAAGCAATAACAATGACTCTCCACACCCTGGACATCGGACTGCTGACATTTGCATTTGACTCTCGATCTCGATCTTGATTCCCTCTCTGCCTCTCGCCAGGCTCCAACTCCATTCAATTGAAAGCAATTCATGCTAATTACAAATTTTATTGCATTTATCGTTAATTGCAGTCCGCAACCTCGCCAGATCCCACATCGTACGTGGCCAAGGCGCGAGTGACGCGTCCCACGCCGCCAGCCCCCTCGAAGAATCCGATGCAGTTCGTCCAGATCAAGCCCTGCAACCTATACCAGACCGCTCAGCAGCAGCTGAAGAAGGCCGAGGAGGTCAAGAAGCTGAAGGAGGTGAAGAAGGAGGAGCCCGAGGAGTGGCAGAACGTAAGTCCGGATCATATATCACACCGATCCGAGAGAGAAACTCCCACTCGATCGCAAAGGCGTGACAAATTTGTAAATGCTTAGACGGGGTATTTGTATACCCTGATATTAAGTAGTTTTCTTGTACATAACAGGGTCGAAAGAAAGTCAAATTTTTAATAATTAATTATTACTTCATGGGGCAAAAAATGCCTAGAGTTTAGATTCTTTAGCATTTCTAAATATTACCCATTTTTATGATACTTAAAGGTTACAAGTTTGTATATATATATATTGAAAGGATCAGAACCTCCATCGATAAAGCCATATAACAATCGAGATTAGTTGTATTTTAGAGGGTATTACGATGTCCTAACCATCAAGCTGGCCGCCTCCTTTCCTGTTTGGTTTTCACTGGCCTCTGAAAAGTTATCGCCGCGGCCAAAACTAAAGCGAAACCACTTGGGCATGGCACATGGCACACGGCTCTAGTTGTGGCCGCTCCAGTTTCCAGTGCACGTCGCTCCGTTAGCGGACAAAAAAAGATATTGCATTGCATAATCACAACTATTACATTTTGTTGATAGTTTTTTTTTTACCCCCGCTTCTATTTTCTTTGCACAGCTCTGTGTGCTGTGTGTCTTACATGCAAATTTGACGCTGCCATAACCCCGGCGAAATGCTGCCTTTGACGTGACTGTACCACCCAACTCATTACCTAATCAGCAATTGCGATGCAATCGTTGCATTTGAAGTGGTCGACCAATGTCTATCGCAATTTCATATGTTCCCAGACATAACTTTTGTGCCAAAAAACAAAACACAACGAAAAGCAAACCCTCTTAAAATGCGTAGAGCGTTTTCAAACTGGGTGACTGCGAGTCTTTTCGATGGGAAAGGAAGTCGAAAATGTCGGTTTCATGGTCTTAAAATGTGTAAATGGCTTCTTCTGTTTTTTGCCAAAGATTGTTAATCACCGAACGGGGAAGAAGACATTTTTATACAGAACTGCAGATCGATAAAACAAACAAAGCTGGCCACCGGAAGCTCTCACAACTGTTAAGCAAACGAGGAAATAAAAGAACACCGATATGATTGATAATAAGGCAGACGTTAGTCATAAAAACACTACCCAGCAGATATAGAGTCAGTCGGGTTTATTAATGAAATTATCAGAAGAATTCACCATAGATTATAGCAAAATCTCCCGGTTAAATCTAAACAATAGCACATCTCTCTGAGTCATGCAAAATGTAACCCAAAATTCTTGATTGGAAGTCGAGCAGTCGTGGCAGTCGAAAATGAGCGAAGTTCACGCGCCTCGGAAACATTTCACCTTTGTCACGTAGTTCCGCAGCTACAGCGTCGCGTCAAAACTTTTTAATTGCCATCAAAAGAAACTTTTTCTCTCCACTTCCACAATGCGAATAATATAGCGACAATTTTTACACTTACACGTCTGCCCATTCGATGTTTTCTATACTAACTTTCGCTACCTTTTTTCTGCCCCAAAACAAAACACGACCCACAATGCGAACCGAACGAACCGGTGACAAACAACAAACAATAAATAATAACCGGCGAACACACAAAAACAGAACCTTGACAATTGGAAATCGTCAAGGCGAAAACGTGTCGAGCACATCATCGATCGTGTGGTGGAGACGAAGAAGCTCGAGCTGGAGGAGCATGATCGCATGCGGCGGAAATCGAAGACATTCACCGAAATGATGGAGGAGAGGCAAGTACAATATCCGAAATTTGTCCGAGTCCGAATTAAATCCTTAAAAAGGGAGAGTCATTAAAACTATAACCGCTAAACTCCAATAATAACATTATATCCTTAACTGTGTCTTTCCTGTTAGAAATATATATTTTAAATGATTTTTTTAACCCAATTCTTATCCTTCAACAGGGCCGAAAGGGGCGGACCTCGGGGCCGTGCCAAGCTGGCTTCCCTGGCCGTCTACAATGAGGATGAAACGAATGATCTGAGCGACCTGGGGATCGGGACGAGCAGTGCCAGCGGCAAGAGCAGCCTGTCCGAGGATTACGACAATAATAGTGTTATGGTGAGTACAAGCCAAGTACCGCGGAATGGGGGTCAATGTAACACCCAAGATCATTAGCACGATTTCCACTCTCTCAGTCCGTTTCTTGGCCATTTTGTTTCATCTCCTGTGAGCTCTTGTCGCAGCGTTTATAAGCAATTACAACAAATTAACAATTAAATCTAATTTACCATCGTTTCGCCGCTAAATCCAAAGCTTTCAATTGGCCAATGCAATGAAGCCTCGTTGGAAAGTGTTCGGGCTGCCAGCAAAGCGATGCGACGCGGGCTAATAAACACAAATGGTTTATTAATCGAATGCGCGCACAAGCAACGCCACAATAAAATCATAATCATAAATAATAAACAATAAGCGTCGAGCAGCAACGGAGATTGGGATTGAAATTGAAATTGAGCGAAAGATTGAGCTCCGGATTGAGCAATTAGACGCGCTTGTCGCCAGGCCGTAAAATGTAGTGCCGTAAAATGTGGAAAATTTATGTTAGTTCATGGCCTCACGGGACCCCCTAGGAATGGGTTTTAGTGTCAAAAGATCGGAAAGAATCTCAGTCTAGAAAGGGAAATTAACTGGGGGAAAAATGAAAGTAAAATAAGAGGCAGACAAAGCTTGAGGAAGGGCAAATAATTGTTACCAAAAGTGAGAGAAATAGCGAGAGATAGAGTCGTAAATGACTTTTAAGTCTTTAAAATAATAAATATAAGAATATTTCTAAAAGAATCTCTTGAATTTAATTAGTATATCATCAGTTTTGGGCCATTACTCGCTCCTTCCACTAATCACTTCTTACATTGCAATCTAATCTCAAACTTTGTTCCTTCCGCAGAGTGACAATGCCGCCGAGCTGGACAAGGCCATTGGCGCCGCTGGTTCTGGGGCTGCGGGAGCAGCTTCCCGCAACGTGGACGAGCAGCAAAATCACATCAACCGCAACGGCAGCAATGGCAACCACAACAACGGAGTGGCCGTTGGCCAGGCGAGCACATCGAATGCCTCCAAGGCAGCAGGCAGAGAGTACATCTCCTCGCCGGGATACGACACATCCTCCAGCACGGCGCCAGCCAGCTCTCCGGATCCCTGTGAATACACCTACGAGGGAGCGATCCAGGACTACAAGCAGCGGGTTCAAAGGGCCAGCAGCAATGGCAATGCCAATGCCAATGGCAAGGTGAACGGTGAACCCATCGCATATCCCACCCGGCGTGGCTCCAAGATTGAGGACCGTCTTAGCGGCTTCGAGGTGACCTCGCCCAGCGACACGCAGGAGGGCGTCGAAAAACAGAAAGTGGATGTACCCAAGGTGGACATCTCGAAGCGCAAGGAAATCTTCGAGCAGGCCAAGTCGAGTAGCTCTCACGGAGCTGCCTCTGCTGCTCCCAAAGTGGTGCTGCGGGATCGCCTGACGAATGGCAACGGCGGAGCCCCGGCTGGCTTCAAGCCGGAGGTAAAGCGTCTCTCGGGCGACATCTCCAGCATTCGAGATCGGATGCAGAGTCTCGAGCAGCAGCGCAACGCCTTCAATTCCAGCAAGAGTGTGGATGTGCCGGTGCCGCCACTCAAGCAGCGCTTGAACAGCCTGCAGCAGTCCGTTACCAAAGAGGAGCAGAAGAAGCCGCCGCTGGTGGCCCTCATCGATGCCCGCCAGCTGGAGATCATGAGAGGAGAGGAGGAACGGATGCGTCAGCAGCAGCAGCAGAAGAAGGAGCAGCATCTCGCCCAGCACCAGACAACGGTGGCCTCTCCGCCGACGGCAGCTCCACCAGCTCTGATCATAGAGGAGCCGCCGGCAACATCCGCCAACGATGACAGCGGCATCCAGGAGGACACCAGTGAGGAGCTGCAGCAGCAGCAGCAGCAACTCAATGCGGCCATCGCCGCCTTGGCCCTCGAGGAGCGTCAGCTGGAGGAGGCTGCCAATGCGGTCAACCAGATCGAGGCGGAGTTTGACGAGCTGACCGATCTGAATCCATCGCCATTGCCACCGTCGCCGGCTCGACCCGCGGCTCAGACCTCGTCTTCGTCACCGTCGTCGTCGTCAGCTGCTTCAGCTCCAATTCAAGCGGCCAATCAGGCGGCAGCTCCTCCATTGCGGGACATGGAATTTAGTGTAAGTTCTACTAACAATTTTATCGAATCCGCTAAGATAAGTCCTTGTGATGATGTAGTAGCTGCTTCAGCGGTGTCGGTGTCCAAATCTGGCCCCACTCCCACTCCCAATCCCAATCCAAATCCGAATCCCAATTGTAACTTGCGTAGAAAGCCCTCCAATGAAATGGTCCATCATCGCAACTTGCTTAAAATGTTCAAGGAAACCTTTCAAAACGACGACGATCTGAAAGAGGTCGGGGAGCCGGTCACCTCGCCGGGTCAGTTTACCCAGATCTTTGACTTTACCAAGCAGTCACCAATAAATCCCCCGGCACCTTCACCACCTATATCCATACCACAACCACAGTCAATACCAATACCAGCACCTTCGAGCCCGATTCCCACCCAAATACCGCGTCCCCTTGGCAAGCCGCCCATGTCTCCAAAGTCGGTGAGATTAGCCGCAAGTCCCAGGGCTGCTCCTGTTAGCTCACCTCCAAGCTCCGGGTCCACGCCTCAGCAATTTAGCATCAATGGTCGCGTGGAGATTTTCAACTCAAGGCAGCTGGACAAGCCACCAACGCCACCAGCTCCGCCCAAGAGATCGGTGAGGATTGAGCAGCCAGTTGCCAAGGAGGTGGCTACTCCTCCGCCAGAGGTGGTGATGTGTGCGCCTCCCATGACCATTGTTCATCCCGATGAACTACCGAAACCAAACACGGTGAAGGCCCTGTCCAACTGCTTCAGTCAGGGTGATTCCACCCCTGTTACCTCGCCCATTATGTCGCCCAAGCCTCTGCCCAGGAGCCGCATTCCCCAGATCACACCACCGTCTTCTCCGAAGCCCTCGAAGCGAGCTCAGATAGAGCTGCCCTCGCTGGACGTGGTAGATCGCAGCTCCGGGGACTATGCACCTGTGGTGTGTCAGACCAAGGCGATAGTGCACTCTCCACCGAAGAAGGTGAATTCGCCTCAGGCCACCAAATCGCTGGATCCTCTCGCCCCGAACGATTCACTGTACCTGCACACGTCTTCACCGTGTGAGATGCCAGCCCTCAAGGCCTGCTCCCCGAACGAGTCCAGTCTGTTCAAGATGGTCTCCTCGCGTCCCACTTCTCCCTCTGTGGAGATTGCCCTGTGCCAGCAGTTCCTGGACAGAGAGGCACCCAAGGACCTGCAGATGGCAGAAGAGGATCTTAAGCGACTGGAGCAGCTGGCTGTTAAGGAGACGCCCTGTGATAGAATCGATGTGACCAAATCACCGCTGCCCAGCACGGGCTACCAGAATGTCACCGAAGACCTGGTAAAGAAGTGTGACGGAAAGAAAGAGTCCCAAGTGGCCAGGGAAGAGCGGCAGCAGCTGGAGGAGGAGCCCAGCCAGGAGGACATCGCCTTGTGTGCCGGATTACTCGATTGCTTGGCCCCGGCCCAGGAGCCCGTCTGCGACAGCATCGATGTGAAAAAGTCCCCAGTGCCGGCCACTGGCTTCCAGGACATCAGCGAAGAGGAGGTGAAGCGGTGTGATAGATCCAGCAAGAATTCCGTGATCATGAACAGGCCCAGCTCTCCGATCGGTAGTGCCCGGGCCGCCCACTCCAAGGCCTTGATGGACACTTGCGAGCAGATTATAGCGGAGGAGCGCCTGGCAAGCAGTCAAATGATGAAGACCTCGCTGCCGGAGACGGTCGAATCGAAGCCCTCGACTCCTTTAATGGGTCGCAGGTCCAAGATACCCATACCCAAGCCCTGCTGTATTTCGGCCTCTGGAACTGACTCCATAAGCCGAGCGGGCTACGCTCCCACTGCTACGCCTTCGGAAGCCGTGGAGCAGCCGCTGATAGCGCGCACCCACCTGGTGGAGACCGAGATCAAGGTGAAGGAGATATCCCCGCCCGGTTCGCCCAAGCCACTGCGGGAGAACCCATCCTCGCCTGCACCGCCACCTGTCAAGGAAAAGAAGACTAAGAACATATTTGACTTCCTGCGCAGGAACTTTGGTCACCACGAGGAGCCGCAGCCGCATCCCACGCTGAACGAAACCCTCGAGAAGAAGGTGGTGTTGACCAGCACCAAGAGCGGCGTGGATGTGGTCAATGCCGACGAGTTTGTCCGCGTGGACAACTCCAAGTTCTATGTGGCCAGCGAAGAGGAGGATGAGCCGGCGCCACCGCCCCTCCCAAAGACTCCGGCGCCCGTGAACATTGAGATACGCAAGAAGATCACCACGGACGAGATCCTGGAAAACACCACGGAGCAGGCGCTGACCCAGGAGATCAGCGACTTGCTGGACGACGAGATCATGAAGCTGGAGGCAGCAGGAGCCGCCGCTCTAACGAAGTAGATTTCGGAAGAAGGAAGCCCCGCAGGATCTGAAAGATCTTAAAAGCGGAGCTGTGGCTGCTCTCTCGGATGATATGTGATCTCTCCGCTGAACTAACTGAACCGACTGCACCCCATGACCTAATGGCTCTCTAGATATTCGGGGATTATGCAATATTAGACACAAAATTCAACCGAACTTGAACATTTTGCAACCGAAAACAACGAATGAAAACGTTCATCGAATTTATTTTTTACACAAAAGAATATTTATTTAACCCTGGTTTTTGTTTTATTTTCCAATCGACTTTTGATTATTCGATTTATGTTCGACATTTTGTTATGGGCTCAAGCTACGTAAGCTACAGTTTTTCTTTATCCTAATATTATTATATCTATACTAAACCCAATTTATATGTATAAAACCAAATTTGATTTTATGTAAAGAGAAATGTCAAACATATGTTTTATGGTTATATATTTTATACACAAACATACACACAAAAACTAAAAAGAAAACACACGAAGATCGAAACCGATTCGCGCTAATACACAAAAAAGATAATTAGAAACCTCAAAAGCATACCAAATAATATATAAACGAGGGAACAATATTATATAAATACAAATGAGATATAATTGTTGTGCTATTTTATGAATAAACCTAAACTAAAATCGAAAACAAACTGGAGCTGCAATTTAAAAAACAATAAGAAAAGGAAGAAACTACATTTTTTTACATGCCGCTTGTGTAAATTTACGCTTAACCGAGACGCAAACGCTTGCACTGCTTGACGGGCGTTGTAGAATTACATTACATTACATTGTATGTAAAAATAATGAAATACGATCTATCATATCGTATCCATCAGGCTGCAATGAGTTTAGTTTCTTGGCTAGAAGAAGAGTCACCCCAAGGAAAAAAGGACGAAACGAAGGACCGATCGCTCTCCCCTTGTCTAAATAATCCATACCCGGCCATCTATCCCTCCTGGAATCCCCAAAACCTATTGCCAGAGGTTGAGGCTACCTAGTTAAGGCTTTATTTCCATCATAACTATAGTGCTATCTCTGATCTGATTCATCCACTGTCATAACTCGTATGTCTCTCTTACATGCCTTGCGCTCTCGTTTGTTGGCTAAATAATGTAAATATGATCTATCTATATATATATTAATGCAGTTGCATAGTTTACACGCTTACTGCCAGCAAAAGTTGTTGCAAGTATACAATTTCCGAGGTAAGCGGCTCTCTCTATCTCTCAATCCCCCTGACCTGTGTGCCCTTTTGTGTTCCTGTTGCGTTCAATTCCTTTTGTTTGCTTCGTTTCTGTAATGTTTTAATTGGTTTTTTCGTAGCCCGTACTCGTTGTGTTTCCGTTCTAAGTTGCATTGCATGTTGTAGCCGAGTTTTACCCACTTAGCACCTATTTAAAATGCCAAAAGTCATCCATCCATCCGCCTAGTGGGGTTTCCCGGGTTCAGATTCAGCGCCGCCCTGCATACTTTGGGGGGCTTGGCGACGGGTGTCCATCAACCCCCATCTACAGACCCTGGAGAGTGCTGTCTCCGCAGTTTTTCCGCCCCATATACATATATTCTTTCGTACGTTTCTTTATCTAAGCGAATCGCTTGGATCGATTCGGCCGCCTACGCTGTCAGTCTGCTTTAAGCCCTCATCGGGCCTGGTTCGTTCGTAAAAACACAGTGTCGTATATACGGATCTATATACCTAATGCAAGACCTCCGTGGCTTATCTTTATAGTGCCCAATAACAATAATAATATAATCGGTGCAAATAATTCGCAAAAGAGGGGATACACGGACGGTCCCCTGCTATCTAGAGATATAAATCGATTGCAGCGCTCCAGTTCGCTGAGTTCTTTCGATCGTAAAGCATTGGTGAGCGGCCAGTTTTAGACCACTATTTGAAGTGCTTCCCCTGGAATTTATACAAGTTTTTCTTGGAATCTCTTGAGACTTTTTTGATAACCGGAAACAGTTGATAACATTTTGCGTAGGTATTTATTTTTTGAGGTTTCCTTATCGATGGGGTTTCCTCGTGAGACTTGGGAATATTATTAAAAATAGCAAATTTGGCAACTGCATAATCAGTTGTTCTTGAACTCCGTACAGTCGCCTCTTAATTTTTGTGATTTTTAATTTTAATTTCCAAGTAAGGTAGAAGAGAATCCTTTTCGAATCTATAATTAATATTGAGATAATCATGTTATCTTATTTCGTATAAAATTGTGTCGAATATATCATGAATATATATATATATCATGAATATTATTCAATTATTTTCTATACCCTTGCAGGGTATTATAATTTCAGTCAGAAGCTAGTAACGCAGTGGAATCACTAAACTAAATTAGAACAGCTCTCCAAATTTAAATTAATACATTTTTGTCTTATTGGCAAGAGTATACAAATATCGGCTTACCGAAGTTAGCTGTTCTTCTAGTCAAAGTGGTTTTAGTTACCTGGAAAAGTGTTCCACAACTAATGGTTATACCAATTTATTTTATATTTGCCAAGAGATTACCTGGGAATTAGCTTAACTTATCTGTTTTATTTTTGCACATACACTGCGCGTCACCAGATTAGCGCCCCCCTTGGTGTTCGCGTTTGAAGTGAAATATTATCAAAACTATTAAAGATTGAACTGTACAATTATTATCCAATATAATTCGATTAATTCTCTAAATAAAAACATATATTAGAAGCCAGTTGGTATTTGCATAGAATTGTATTAAATTAAAAACTAAAGAAACACGTTTATTTGGAAGAAAAAACTGCGTCATCAGATTAGCGCCCCCAAAATATAAATTTAAACATCTTTCTTAACTTGCTGAGCACAGCAACCATTTTTTTTTTGCTGTTGAATTAAACATTTTTCTTCAATTTGACATACAATATGGGCAGAGGAACAATCTTATCTTCGGAGGAAAAATCGAAAATCGAAGCGTTTAATGAATGTGGACTTTCTCTTCACAAAATCGTCGAAAAAACGAGAAGACATCGCAAAACCATTGCAAATTTTCTTCAAAATAAGAAAAGCTATGGAAAAAATTACAAAGGAGGTAATAACAGTGTTATTAGTTCCGCAGATCGCAGTGCTATACTCCGAGAGGCGTGCAACTCCCACGACTCGACCGCCAAAATAATAGAAAAAACTAGTGTTAAGACAATAAAATCGACTTTTTTAAAGGTGATCAAGAAAGCTGACCCTTTAAAGTAGCTAAAACTAAAAAAAAAAACCACCCCTTAACCAAGTGCGAACAGAAATCCGCCTAAAGTTTGCTCACACGCATATGACATGATCCAATGAGAGGCATAACGTCGTATTTTCAGACGAAAAAAATGTAACCTAGGGGGTCCTGACGGATATAATTATTATTTCCACTATTTACGCAAGGAAGAGCATCATCTGGATCGCTTACATAGTCGGGTTGGAGGAGTAATGGTATGGGGAGCCATATCCTATTACGGCAACTGCGAACTGCAGTTTTTAACCCCAAAGATGAACGCGGAAAATTACAATTGCGTTCTAAAAACTGCATTTCCCGTTTTTAAAAACTTATTTGGAAATCTGAAATAGCATTTTCAGCTCGACTAAGCCCCAATCCACAGAGCCCGGTCCGTAAAACTATGGATTCAAAAGGAAAATCTCAGTGTCCTGGAGTGGCGCCCATACTCCCCAGACCTGAACATAATAGAAAACGTCTGGGGATGGTTAGCTAGGAGGGTGGCAAGCAATATGCTACCAAGGAGGATTTAATTCACAGTATAAAACAGGCCTGGACAACAATAACGTTGGAATATCTCAAAAACTTGTATGACTCTCTCCCCAATCGAGTTTGTGAAGTCCTTGTAAACAAGGGAGGGACAACCCATTATTAAATTTCCTTAAAAATGCTTAAACTTAAACATAAAATTGTTAAAGATAGTATTTTGTAAGAACTTCATCAAAAAAAGTTAAGTTAATGTGGGTGGCGCTAATCTGATGACGCAGTTTTTTCTCCAAATAAACGTGTTTCTTTAGTTTTTAATTTAATACAATTCTATGCAAATACCAACTGGCTTCTAATATATGTTTTTATTTAGAGAATTAATTGAATTATATTGGATAATAATTGTACAGTTCAATCTTTAATAGTTTTGATAATATTTCACTTCAAACGCGAACACCAAGGGGGGCGCTAATCTGGTGACGCGCAGTGTATGTACATATATAGGTATTCCTAATCCCTGAAAGTTACAGATAGTCGTTACTCGCCATTGCTATCGCCCTTCCAGCTGCTTTGGATGAAAAGTATACCTCTGTTCGTTTTGTAAAATATTCTGCTGCAAGCCCCACTTTAGCAATTAATTTGAATTGCGTTTCCGTTCTCGTCTTTCCCCAGTAAATGTTTGATTGAATTTCGTTTGTTTAATTTAATTTTGTTTATCTTTAGTTGATTTTTTCCTTTTTGATTTGCAAGCCAGCATTTTTCTTGTGTAAACTAACTGAAATTCATGCGATCCATGCGCGTTCTTCTCTCTTTCTCTCTCTGTCACGCACGATGCTTTCGATGCTTTCTCGCTCGCTCGCCATGCCACGCCCACCTCATACCGCCCCCACAGATCAACGAAGCTCTTGAATTGGCGCTCGAGGCAATCGATCGCGAGACGACACCCAGGCCAATGGACAAGGCGCAGCAACTGGCAGAGAAACCGGAGGAGGAGGAGGAGGAGCACCACAACGAGAAGCAACAGGAGGATTCGAAGCAGGAGCCAAAGTCGGAGCCTGAACAGGGGGGAACACACACAGAGGGTGGGGGGGATATGCCAAATAAAACCGACGAGCAGAAGCAGGGGGAACGAGAGCCCATCTATGAGAATGTCAGCTCGACTATATCTATGCACGAAGTAGATAATGAACAGATAGCAACGATGACGATAACCACACAGACCCAGGCGGCGACGCGTAGGAGTCACAGGAGAAGCATTCCAAATAACCAAACCAGCAACAGCAACAATAACGAGAATAATCAAAACACTAATCAAACCAACAGCAACAGCAACAACAGCAATCAGAGCGAGAACAACCCAGCAGCAGCAGCAGCAACGGCAACAGCACCACCACTAGCCCCCATTGTGCCACCAACAGCATCGGCGGCGGCGGGTGAAGCAGAGCCCTACTATCAAGTGCCCAAGGCCACGGAGCCCTACTACGATGCCCCCAAGCATTTGCGACCCGTTCCCGTCTACGAGAACATCGAGATCTTCTACTCCGGCCTGGAAATCAGTCAAGGATCGGCGCTACCACCCGTGGGCCTGATGGAGCCGCCTAAGGAGAAACCACCGCCGCCGCCCACCGAAAGTCCGCCGCCAGTTCCAGTTCGCGACAGTCGAGTCGATGAGCTGGATGGCTTGGACAGCAGTCTGGGGCATAACACCGACACCTGGTCGTCGGATAATACCTACGAGACCATATCCAACGGCACACGCCGGCAGCTGCAGGGACAGCTGCTGGAACCTGCCCAGCCATCTCCGCCCATCAAGCGGATGAACTCCACCAAGCGGATCAAGAAGGAGCTGCGCAACAAGCGCTCCAGTTTCCTTGGCATCGAGACCGACGGCGATCTTGATGACATGGAGAGTTATCTGGAGCTGACGGTGGCCCCGCCGCCGGATATGGCGCAGCTCCTGCAGGAAGAGCGTCGACTGGAGAAGCAGCTGTACATCAAGGCGGGACTGTGCGACAGTTCGGACACGGGTGAGTCCCATACCATGGTCTCTAAGTATAGTATTGAGCGGTCGAATGGGAGAGGAAAACCGATACCAAAAGCCAATAGGGCATAAAAACGAAAGACAGAGCAAATCACAAGTAGAGAAGGGGCAGCAGGTGACGGGAGGTGGAGCATGGAAGGTGCCAGGGGTTGGCCCCCAGCTGCCCCCGCGAGGTTAAGTATAAATAATCCGTTTAGTGTGCGTGGCCCAGGGAGCTATGACAGCTTGGGCTCGGATGCTTCCCCATTTGGGTTCTTGAACTGCCACACGGATGCCACTAGATGGAAAGAGCTTGCTTGAAAATCATTAGATATATTCTTAGATCAATATTTTATTTAGAATGATCTCATTGAATTTTAAAATATATTCGATTGTATTTCGATTAATTAAATAATATTTTCTAAATTATCAATGGGTAATCCTTCCAAAGAGTGGCAATTTCTTTCGTCTAATCCCCATATTTCCCACATTATCCCCTACCCCAGGCGATAGCCGCGACTCGGGCGTTTCGGAGAACCACTCGCGCCAGAGCAGCGAGCACTACACCAACTCCTCAGAGGAGAACGATACGCAGTCGGAGGCCACACCGCCACCGCTGCCTCCGCCGCCGGCTACCACGCATCTGGGCGAGGTGATTTACCAGAACGAAAACCTACTGCTGGCGGCACAGACACCTCTACTCCAGACGGTCAAAGGTAACTCGGCCGAATCCTGGACAGAATCGGCAACGGCGGCTGCGGCGGCCACTCAATCGCTGAGCGAAGCCACTGCAACGGCCAATGCTAAGATGCAGTCCATCGAGGAGAAGATACGGGAGCAGGGCGAGGTGTTGCGTGTGGAGCGAGAACTTCTGCACTTTTCGGTGAGTAAAATGACCTGATTTTGATTACCAAAATATATATGTATCTACACCACAGCAGGAGGAACTGAAGCGGCAGCGTGAGAATCTTCTGCTGCGCGAAAACCTGGCACGTCGGGAGCTGCAACATGGGGCAAAGATGCTGATGTCAAACAACCGTCGTTCCCTGCAGGATTTGCACCATGGCCTGGGCATTGGCAATGGGATGCTGAGCGCCTTCCAACCACCGCCGCCGCCACAGCACCACCAGCAGCCACTACACCCGACGCATCCGCAGCAGATCTACGCCAACGTGCCACAGCAGCAGCAACAGCAGCAGCAGCAGAAGGCGGCGCTGTATGCTTATCACCAGATGGACACGGACTACCGCAAGTCCATGTCGGATCTAAACGAGTTCTCCAACCGCCTAATGTTGCCGCCAACGCCGCCCACAAAGCCATTACGAGCAATGCACATAGCCGCCGCCAATGGTCACGGCCTGGAGCCCGACTATGCGGTTAGTACGAGGCAGCGACAACCGCCAGTTCCTTATGGCGGCTCCCTGGTGAAGATCGCTGGGGCTCCCATGGGCCCGCGACTATCCGGTCCCGGTTATCCCGTTCAGGCCTCAGCGGCGGCTGCCTACCACCACCAATCGGCCCAGAATCTGAGCAATATGTCGCGGAATACATTGCTCGCCCTGAGTGCCACGCCCAAGCCCAAATACACAGACGGTTGGGTGCAGGTGCAGCAGCGGAAGAGCTACGACAGCAACTTGGCCAACGATCCGGCCTGGCTCTCCGCCCAGCAGCAGAAGCGCAAGTCCATGCCGGACTATGGCGGAGCCGTCTACAACAACAACCACTGGCTTTTGCAGGAGGCGGAGCAGCGACGCATTGATCAGCTTAACCGGCGATCGATGCCGGCCAGCAAGTCGAATGGAAAGCCCTTGCCCGACTCCATCATCCAGACGCTGACGGAACGCGTTCAGAGCAAGGGCATTGGCGAACGAAAACGGTGAGAATATTTTTCTTAGTTTTTGGTTGTACTTTTTCTTTAAAAGTCTTATTTTAAGAGACACAATAATATAATATATTTCTAGTTAATTAAAATTCTTCAACTTAATATTTTTCCCAATAGCTTTGATGGTAATGGAAACTATAGCCAGGTCAATGGCAACACCAACAATGGCTATCAGCAGCAACCGCATCAGCAGCAGCAGCAGCAACCGCAGCATCCGCAGAAGACCAACAGCAGCAGCAACAACAACAACAACAGCAATGGCAGCCAGGAGAAGGTGCTCAGCGTCAGTGGCAAAAAGAAGTGCTCCCATTGCGGGGACGAACTAGGTAAACTTTGCTACTACGTTGGTTGTGAGTGTTGTGGTTATTCTTCTATCTCCCGTCACCCCCGACTCTCATCAAGCATTCTTGGTAACATTTTCTAGGCTTGTGAATCACAAGAATAACACACACTCAGACTCACTAGCCTCATAATTTGGTATCTCAAGTGTTGGTCATTAAAAGGCTCCCTCCTCTTCCTGATCTTTCTGAATTCCTCATAAACTAAAGGTGTTATATTTCTCTATTCGTACGTACATGTCTGTGACAGATCTGGGCTGCACCCACGACAACTGTCGACAAGTGCACAAAGCACTCAAATATATTGTTTGGGTGTGATTAAACAATTTTAAAACTAATATTTAATAAAAACAATATTTATAATTAACAAAGACTTGATAAGGATAAATGACTACTTAAAACTAAGCGAAATCTAAAGAGTTAAGGTATATATTAATTATGGCGGATCGATATTTGTTTAGAGTTCTTGTTTTTCATGTTTGCTTAAGAAATTTCATAATTGTTTAGATGGTTTAATTAACGTTTAACTTAATACTAGATATCATTAAAAATAGTTAATTGGTTAGTTTTCTTGTGTTACTTCCTCTAAACACCTAAGCAAATCGATCCACCTAAACTGTTTTTATTCTTAAAAAATAATATCCATCACTTACTTTCTACAGGTCGCGGTGCTGCCATGATCATCGAGTCGCTGCTGCTGTTCTACCACATCAACTGCTTCAAGTGCTGCGTCTGCCATGTGCAACTGGGCGATGGCCTCAATGGAACCGACGTCCGGGTGCGGAACCACAAGCTGCACTGCCAGAACTGCTATTCCAGCGACGAGTTCAAGTTCAGCTGCGTCTAGGAGTTACAGCTGGCGAATGTTGTTGTTCTTGTTCTTGTTGCTATTGCAGCAAATTGATTGTTGTTGTTGTACTAGTAATATATAGACACTAACTACAGACGCGTAATTCGTATGTTCAGATATGCATATACAGTACATAGATATATCCATGTTGAGAACAAAGTCAAATGCAAAACGTTTCAGATTAGTGTTAATTAATCGCTTCAATATAAGTATGCAATTTTTTGAATGTCTTTGCATTGCTTTTTGACTCCGATTTTAACGTTTTTTATATACGACGATATATTCTACATGTTTGAAAATCCGACGTTAAAGCTAAGCTCTCTACAGTTTTATGCCAAGTCAAAGTCAAATTTCAAAATGCAATTGCAATTTATTGTGTGTTTGAAAATTATATAAGACAAAAATAAAAACAAAAAAAAAGTTCTTTGAACGTTGTTAAAATTTTGAAATTGTATATTGCCTACATAGATATATCTACAGACAAACGAGTTGTACATTAATTTTCCGACCAATGCGCTGACGTATTTCTATTCGCATTCGGTGTCTTCTAATTCTGAAGTTTCTATGTACTATCAGTTTCTTTACACGCCCCAGCCCACGTAGAATACCTAACGACGTATCCAATGTACCTAAAGTTATATACAAAAATACCCATGCACACGCAACACACTAACATAAGTACATATTATTATATACATACTATATACATACTAAACGAGATATGCATATAACGTGAAAGATTTCATTTCTAATTGTCGTTATTCTTATTTATTGTAATTAAGCATATGAATCAAAATCATGGATATTCTATATACACTTCTTGGATTTTATGATTAACTTTTAAACTTGATTGGTATATGAAAAATATTTCTGTAAAAATACAAAGAAACGATTTGAATTTCGCTTAGTTTTATAATAAAGTATTTAAAAGAACAAAATAATAATTGTTTCATTCTTTTGTCTGCCATGTTTTAGTTTCCTCAAAGTGGAAAAATAATGGTTACTATACGTGCGGGCAAAATTTAAATAGTTATGGTCTGGGGACCGTCGATATCTTCGCCATTCTATTCTTTCATGTCATTATTTACTTTCCCAATATTTTATATTTTCAACTTTTATCAGAAACTTGAACAAGAAAGGAAGCTAACTTCGGCAAGCCAAAGTTTGTATACCCTTGCAGGAATCAGGAACCGGAATTTTAAATCTTCATAACAAAGCCAAAAAGGCATTAATTTCAATTCAGAAAGCGATTTTGTGTTAGTTTTAAGTAGTTTAAAAAATCTGCATACTGAATTTTTAATTATCAGAAATAAAATTTTTTGTCAATTTTTGAGAATTTTAATGATGTAACCCCTTATAAAATTTTGAGAGAAATGAAAAAAAAATGTTCCTTCCGGACATAGCTAGAAAGAATCGCCTGTTGGCCCTGATCAAGAATAGATATGATTTATAGGGTCGGAAATGGCTTCTTCACTAAATAAAACCTAAAATACCCTTCAAGAATACTAGAAATATTTGAATTCTTAAAATCGATATTTTCCGATATATCTTATATTTTTTTTTTGAAAAAAATTTAACATAATATAGTTAAAATGAAAAAAGCATCAGATTCAATTCGGAAATTTTCCTTTGCTAGTTGTTCTAGCTTAAAAAGTCTCCATTATGTGAGGAATAGTACTTAATGAAATTTCCCCAAGCATAATTTAACCCATATTTCCTATATATGATATATGTAGTTGTCTGATTCATATAATTTTCATTCAGAATGCTCCTTGGAATATATACATATAACAAGAAAGGAAGCTAACTTCGGCACGCCGAAGTTTGTATACCCTGCAGATTGGTTTCGATGTTTATATTATAGTTTTAAATGCTGAAAACACTCACAAAACAGAGTTTCATTAAATTTTACCTATACTTATTATATTTACAGTTTGACAGTTTCAGTTTTACACTCCCAGCTTTACATATTTTATACATTTACCGATCGCTTTTATGGCAGCTATATGATATAGTTGTCCGATTTTTATAAAATTTATACCAGAATTCTAGAATCAATCGGAAAGCTGTTCTGCATTGGGATTTCTGCGCTTCACAAAACTGCTTACTCAGTTTTTCTTAAAAACTTATCTATAATTTTATTTAATTTTACATAGCTTTATTTCTTATATTTACAGCACTCCAATAGCAAAAACGAGAGCGTGCGCAGGGATTTGGGAAGCACAAGTTCATCAAGTTCATTGTAATTGTTGATTGATGATCATCTGATCGGCAGAGGTGAAGCTGGAGGAGCGAGCAGCTGGGATGACAGATCTCAACCCGATGGCAGTGGAGGACGGTGATCGGATCTTGGGTCCGGGCTAATTAAAACCCTGCAGGAGGCGTAAATAATTCAAATATTTATAAATGCAATTTAAATATGTAAATGTAATTGATGGAACACACAAATATGAATCAATAAAAGATGGTGAAATCAAAGTGCAATTTTTTTGTGAAGGCGGCATTTATTCGGGATCGTTTGGGGAAAAATCTAATTATTTTCAAAGCAAAATCTAAATTTTTAAATTTGTTTTCTGAATTTTAAACATTTTTTTCGGATGTTTTACAATTCTTCTAAATTTTTAAAAAAATTTTCTAAATATTAAAATTTTTCTGAGTTTTAAAATTTTTTTTTCTGAATTTTTAACATATTGTAGATTTTTTATATTTATTTAAGAATTTTTTTAGAATTAAACAAATTTTTTTTTAATATTTTAACTGCCAAATTTGAATTTGAATTTAACTGCCAAATTTGAATTTGAATTTAACGACGATCAGTTTCAGTGTGCCCAGGTGCAGTTGTAAAATAACACCTAAATTTGGATTCAAAAGGTTTGAGTCTCCGCTAACTTGCGCAGGCTCCAAAATGGTTTGGAACTTGGACATTTTATAACACTTTATACCAGTTTTCAGCTGCTTGCTGCTGATTTCTGTTCGCCTGTTACCCCAATTTGGGAAACGGGCAATTTGCATGGAAATGTTCGGAAATTGGGATGGTCTGCTGTAGGGATGTTGTTGTAAAACAGTTGTTGTTGCCATAAGATGTTGTTGTCGCCAACAAATAGGTATAAATGCATAAAATGAAATATAACAGTTTATACCAATTATTATTTTTGCCCAAAAGTTTTTATAACAGTTTATACCAGATTTCAGTGGCTTGCTGCTGGTTTCTGTTCGCCTGTTACCCCAGTTTGGAAAGCGGCCAAATCGAATGAAAAGTTTTGCTCACTTGTATCAGAGATGCTCATCTGCATCAGTGATGCTCATCTAGCTATTTTGCATTATTGGGACAAAATGGAATCTCACTAACTGCCAGTGATGCTCATCTAGCTATTTTGCATTATTGGGACAAAATGGCATCTCACTAACTGCCAGTGATGCTCATCTAGCTATTTTGCATTATTGGGACAAAATGGCATCTCACTAACTGCCAGTGATGCTCATCTAGCTATTTTGCATTATTGGGACAAAATGGAATCTCACTAACTGCCAGTGATGCTCATCTAGCTATTTTGCATTATTGGGACAAAATGGCATCTCACTAACTGCCAGTGATGCTCATCTAGCTATTTTGCATTATTGGGACAAAATGGCATCTCACTAACTGCCAGTGATGCTCATCTAGCTATTTTGCATTATTGGGACAAAATGGCATCTCACTAACTGCCAGTGATGCTCATCTAGCTATTTTGCATTATTGGGACAAAATGGAATCTCACTAACTGCCAGTGATGCTCATCTAGCTATTTTGCATTATTGGGACAAAATGGCATCTCACTAACTACCAGTGATGCTCATCTAGCTATTTTGCATTATTGGGACAAAATGGAATCTCACTAACTGCCAGTGATGCTCATCTAGCTATTTTGCATTATTGGGACAAAATGGCATCTCACTAACTACCAGTGATGCTCATCTAGCTATTTTGCATTATTGGGACAAAATGGAATCTCTCTAACTGCCAGTGATGCTCATCTAGCTATTTTGCATTATTGGGACAAAATGGCATCTCACTAACTGCCAGTGATGCTCATCTAGCTATTTTGCATTATTGGGACAAAATGGAATCTCACTAACTGCCAGTGATGCTCTTCTAGCTATTTTGCATTATTGGGATAAAATGCATCTCTAACTGCCAGTGATGCTGATCTAGCAATTTTGCAATATTTGATGTTTTTCCATTGTCCACCGCAAGAATACCCGGCAAGGAAATAAAAATGTTGTTAGTGTAATAAACAGATGAAAAATATTAATTTATTTCATTAAAATGTATAAAATTTCCCATGGTGCTTAGGTAAATTATTAAAAAAAAACTTTGTGGCATACTTCTAGGCGGCTTTTAAACTAAATTTTCATAAAAATTCATTTGATTTTGATGAAGCAACGATATAAGTATGAAAATTATATACATTTAAATAATAGAAGTTATACTATCTTTTCCAAATAGTCGTTTGTTTTATAAACCCGTATGCTAGACTATTGTTGCGTTCTCCTTATCAAGGAAATCCTTTTCCATACTTGAAGAAAATACAAACAGTTGGGCGACCAGAGCACTTTATTACTCAGACCATTAATAGAAAACATAATCCAATACAATCGGCTTTTACACTTTTTCCTTAAGATATCCCCAGTTCACCTCCGCCGGCACTCAGATCTAGGCCGTGGGCAGGAAGGTTAGCTTCTCGTTCAGCTGTAGCTGGGTCTTAATAAGCTGGGACAGGGTGATGACCAACAGGAGGTTGCGCACGTTGGCGTTGAACATCTGGGTGAACTGCTCGTGGGTCATGTGCGGCACGGAGTGGATGAGGTCGAGCAGCTGGCGGCCCACGGCGTTGTCCGGCGTCACCTTGTGGGCGATCACGTCATCGACATACTTGAGGATCAGGTCCAGCAGCGACTGCAGCTTCGTCGAGGCCTCCGAGATCTGGGCCAGATCCAGCATCGGCGGCACTGTCTTGGGACGGTGAGCGGGCGACACGCCCACGGTCTTCTGGAGCAGCTTCAGGCCAAAGGTCTCCGGCTCGTAGCTGGTCAGCTCGACGGGAATGGGCGTGAACATGCAGCCGGTCTTGCCGCCAGGCACTCCCAGCTGGATGCACACATAGGCCCGCAGGCCCATGCGCCCGCCCTGCAGCGAAGTGTCCACGGTGACGTGCACCGGGTTGTTGCACTCGCGGGCATAGTACTCATGGATCACCGAGCTGTGGTTCGTCACATCGTTGCCGGTGGCCCACCAGCCCACCACGCTCTCGTTGGGGTTCACCTTGCGGTTCAGGTCGTACATGTCCAGGGCGTAGCTCAGTTCCGCCTCCACCTGGTCGTCGTGCTCCTTGTGCGGCACACAGAAGCAGTTTGTCACCTCCACCACTCCCTTGTCCACGGAGCCGAGCAACGTGCCGATGACGCGGTGCGAGTCCGCATTGCGGCGCTCGAAGGCGTCCACCACCTGGAACAGCACCACCGGGTGCACGCGCACGGTCAGGTTGAGAGCTGACATTCTTTCGAGGATTGGCGAGGATTTCTACGAGAGTTTACGCAAAATTTGCGGTCAGCCACGCTGCGTATTTTTAAGGGATGGAGAAATATAGAGATGGGAAAACATCGATGTAACTATCGATACAATCGATGTTTTACAAAATGGCGATATATCGATGTTCGTCATCGATATTTTCCTAGAAAGGTGAAAAATCGACGTTACACAACACTATACTACGAACGGTTTACATTTAAAATCGAAAATTATTGTGATACATGATTCTCACACACAAATATACGCTCCTCCTGATGTACTGGAGGCCACATGCTCTTCTCAAAAACCCTCTACAAACTTCAAAAATCAAAACCCGCCTTGATTCCAAACCACATACTAAAATTAAAATCAAAGAAACTTTAATTAATTACATATAAACAATTTTTATTAAATACGATTTTTACATAATGCATACTTAGCATAAATGCGATCGATATTGTATTTGTATTTCTACGTGAGACTAGCCCCTCTAGAAATGGGCCTGATCGCTAGCTTTCCTTGCATTCTATTGCCTATCTCATTTAGCGGACATAATAGCCCGAAATCAACTCCAAGTCCAGGTCCTACCAAACTTCGCACTTCTGAACCGGATTCATGGGGGAACCGTCTGGGCACTGGAAGTCCTTGGCAAAGTCCTTCATATTGCTGAGTGATCCAAGGACACGGAACTCGGAAGGCGAGTGCACGCCAGTTGTAATACGCATCTTGAGAGATTCTGGAATAAAAAATATAAATATTTTGGTTAGCTCCCAATATAACAATGAACTTTAAAAGAAAATTTGTACTTTAATTAAATAAATCAAAAAATTAAAGAAATCCATACAACCAATACATTTCTTCTTACCTTTACGGTACTTAGCACACCATGTCTGTCCGGCTGCCACCCAGAACATCTGTTCCGGGGTATAGTCCAAGCCTGGAAGCTTCTTCTCCGGGCCGTGCTTCTGCGCCCACCGCCTGTACGCGATGTATGACTCCTTAACGCCACCATTATCGGCAATATTCTCGCCTTGAGTGTTGATGCCATTGAGCTGTGAAAGGAATATCTCCTTTAGATCGTATCTCTCGAAATATGGAAGCATATCTTACATTCAGACCCGTGGCCTTTTCCGTGTAATTTCCATATTGCTCGATGATGCACTTCGCCTTGGCCAGATAGGCCTTCTGGGTGTCCGGCTGCCACCAGTCTCGCAGATTGCCCTTCACATCAAACTGACGACCCTGATCGTCGAAACCGTGGGTGATCTCGTGGCCAATGACGTAGCCAATAGCGCCAAAGTTCATGTATTTGGGGCGCTGAGCGTTGAAGAAGTGTCCTTGCAGGATGCCGGCAGGGAATTCTATTTAAAAAATATTTAATATATTTAAATATATTTCCTTGTTATAATTCCTAATTCACTTACGAATACTGTTCTCCAGAGAGGAGTAGAAAGCATTCACGATCGCAGGACGAGCATGTCGCACCCAGTCCGTCTTGTTGACTGGCAGACGGAGCTTGTTGAAGGAGTAGTCCGTGCCGAAGATGTTCATGCCCAGGAAGGACTCAAAGTACTTGTCGGGATCGATATCGAGCTTGGCATAGTAGGTGGCCAGCTTCTCGTTGTCGAGCATCTCGTCCGGATAGCCGATGTGAGTGGCCATGCTGTGCAACTTCTCCTTGGCCTCCTTCTTGGTCTTGGCATCCATCCAGATGACCTCGTCCAGGATGTCGTTGAAGACGTTGCGGATGTCGTTGACCATCTCCAGGGCATTGGCCTTCGAGTCCTTGTGGAAGTGCTTGCGTACGTAGAGCGATCCCACAGATATGCCAAGGCTGGGATGTGATTCGAAACCCGTTGGATTAAATGGCGCATGGTGGCGTTATCATTTCAATGTGATGTCGGTTGTTGGTTCGAGGGTGTGCAGTTATTGAAATGGTGGGTTGAAGAGATCGCGTGAAAGTGGAACACAAAATGAATATGCATATTAGGATCGGCCGGAAGACATGGATTCGATACGATCGCATCTGATCGCATCGAATCGGACCTGTCGGAATGCTGTGAATGCTAGGTGTGCAAGTGAACAAAAAAAGGGGCCTCGAGTGTCGCTGTCCCCAACGTGCGTGAATTAAAGTGCATTCACATATCGACTATTAATAACCGAAGTCCATTTAGATCGAAAGTTATACCGGAGACCAGCTAACTGAGAGACTATCTTTATACAAAATAAATGAATGCTAAATATATATTACAAAAAGATGTACATTCCATAATTAAAGGAAGTATCCATCCATTTGTCTGTGGGTAGAATGGTCACTACCTTCCTTATATATTTTATATGACATACCGATAAAGCCTTTACAAGATCACTTTATCTTGACCTGGTAAACAACCCCAAGACCACAAAAAATATTGATGTTTACTTAATAAAGCGCAAATGTTTAAAAGCCACACAAGGGAATTATCAAGATTTACTACTGTTTATCTCTGTGAGCTCGTTATCTATATAGTTAGTGTCTGTCCCAGGTTCCCCAGTCGATCTAACTAAATGGACCTTCGGTTTTATTCTTAGCATGCGTGTGTTTGTGTGTGTGGTTTATTGTATCCTTTGTGTGTGCTTGATGCGAGTGTGTTTTGTGGGTTTCGTGTTTGTTAGGCTCTCGCTTTTCCAAGAATATTATGAATGCATTTTCTAAATAAGTACCTATCGTAATCTTCTTCGGATTCTTCATCCATGCTGCAAATCACAAAGAAATCAAAAGAAGATACAGAAAACGGGCAGAGAAACGAGATACAGCCAACCCCCGAAGACCCTGACCCAAGGACGGAGCCGTGGCATCCGGACCAACACACTAACCTGCCGGTTGCAATATCCACGCATTCCTTCCATCGCGCCTCCTGCTCCTGGCGTCCAGAGAGGGCGGTGGCATACTGCAGCTGCCGCTTGCGGAACTCCTCGCTCAGGAATCCCACAGAGAAGCCGTGAATCCGCCAGAACATGTAGTTGGCAATGACGCGCTTCGGCGTCTTGGCCAGCAGTTTGCCGAGATCCTCAAAGAAGCTGGGCACCGACAGGTTGATCATCTCATCGTCGGCCACGTTAAGTCCCTCGGGCAGCAGGGCGTTCATGTAGTCCACCCACTGGACGTAGGGATAGGCGGCCTGCAACTGGGCCGGAGTCCTCAGGTTGTACAGCTCCGAGGAGTTGCGACGCTTCTCGTTGGGCCAGGAGATCTAGGGATATAACATTGTACTCCCTGAACTCGATTAAAGTACTCTCTTTGAAGTACTCACATTGGCCAAAGCTATCTCGAATTCCAGCGAGGTCAGCAGTTCTGTCTTGGCCTTTTCCTTGTCGGCCCCAAAGAGCACGGCAACGTCCACCATGTATTCGTAATAGGCGGTCACCAGAGTCTCATTGAAGCCCTTCACCAAGTACTCGCGACTCAGAGCCAGAGCAGATTGATCCAGCTGAAGTAGAAAGGAATGTTTCTATCTAATAATCAGTAACCTCTCCGAAATACTCACATCAATAAGGCGTTTAGTACTGTTCTGCAGATCCACACCGATCGAGAAGTCAATGATGTAGTCCATGCTGAAGCCAGCCGCACGGAACTTCTTGACCTGCTCTTGCCAGGTCCAGCTGTCGTCGGCATTCCAGCTCTCTCCCTTGATCAGGGGCCATCCACCCAGCTTCTCGGCCACGCGTTTGATGGGTTCTGCGCCCAGGGTCTCGATAAGAGCTATAGAAAGCGCAATTTTAGTAATTTTGTAGTTGAATAATCCGGCAGAAGAACATTGTAAGCTTTAACTTTAAGGAATGCCAGCTATAGACTTCCCAGAGCTCAGTTATCATTTAAAATTAGGGGTTTCCCACCCAAATTTTTTTTAGATATCTGAAGTACCTCCACAAGTATAATTAGCAATTAGGAAAGCTACGAGTGTAACCGACTGTAACATAGCCGGTTCTTAAAGCACTGTGGGTCAAGTTAAAAGTTTTTTTTTATCGTATACATTCTCGGTTGAAACTAATCTATAATAACCCTTGTAAGTTACAGGTGACGGCTATGAAAATGTTTTAGAGATCTCAAAAAACTAACAATGCATCAATAACTACTTTTTACGACTTTATGAACATTAACTGTCTATTTTTTATGAATAAATAAATAAAACTTGACATCCCCAATACAATAAATTAGACCCGAGCTCTAGAATTTCTCTACTTTTCCCTGTTACTTACTTTTGTTCATGCACGCTTTGTAGAGCAGATTGGGCAGCCGGAAGTGCTTGGGATCCGTTTCCGGTCGCTCAGCGGTTATAATGTCCTTGAGCTGCTCCTGCAGCTTGTCGGAGATCACGGAGAAGGTGCTGATCGAGACCTTGTCATCGGGAATGTTCTCCTCTTCGAGATAGGTGCCGCAGGCAAATTCGTAGAAATTGTCGCAGGGCTCCACCTCAGGCTTCATTTTCCGCAGAACTGTGGAGGCGGTGTGGATGCACTCCTGGGTGAGGCACCATTCATCCGCATCGGCAGCCGCCTTGCCCTTTGAGGGACTGCCCATGGACACCTTGTTGACGGTGGTACTGTCGCCATGCAGTGCCGTGGCCTGCGGAGTCTCCGGAGAGCTGGAAGTTCTTACAACATCGTTGATCCACAGACCAAATGCGGCGGCGGTGGCCACAAAGAGAATGCTGCTGACCACCAACAGACTTCTCTCCAACTTAGTGCGACGACGCCACCAGTTGGGGTTCCTGAAGGATGAGAAGGAAATACATAGTTAGGGGGGAATTTAATTAATCTTTAAATTGTTTTATAAATACAATAAAATAGACAAGAACACAAGCCACATAAACCTTTATTTCAATAAAGAACTTTTCATTAAAATCCCCTACTAACTGTTTATATAAAGTTAAAATAATAGCAAGACCCATAAAAACATTTAAAGACATAAAAACGACTCCGGAAATGAAAACAGCGAGAAGTTCATAAACTGGCAGCGGTGTTAATTTTTAATGAAAACGACGTAAAAGCATTTAACATATTTATTATATTTAATGCTTGATAGCCAGTTGTACCATATAACCTTTTATGACTTCTTAAATTTATGTAAAAGTCGTCAACTAAATATTTCTATAATCAGAACACTGCTTAAACCAAAATAAAAACTTAATTACAGCATTCTGCTGAGGCTAAACCGGCTACAGGCTAGGCTGTATGTAATTGGTGGCTCACTTCCGATTTGTCAATATATTGGCCCCCTGACCCGCACCACCAGGGGCGCTCAATTTGGCAATTTATTGCCATAATTATTGTTGTTACTCCGTTGTTCAACTGGTTGAATTTCGTACACACAAAGTTTGAAAAGTCATGTTGGCCGCCGAACTCGTTACGACATTTGAGTATTTTTGTTTGATGTTTTTTTCACAATGATTTTTTTTTTTAATGCCTGGCCATTTCCGTGGTCGAAGTGTAAGTATAACACGGCAGCAATATAAAAAGGAAAACATCTACATCAGTAGCTGCACGAAAATAGATTCCGAAAAACTGATGAATTTTTGCACGCTTCAATTATTGTTGAAAATTGTAAAATAATAAAGAAAAAAGTTATTACCCCGGAGCGCAGCGAAGATGCTTTTAATGGGCGATTAAGTCACGGGCAGTGAATCCAACCGTTTACGGCCGATTGGGGGAAAGGTCAGGTCCGGTGAGCAGAATCCCGGATCGCAGATCCCCCATCGGATAGGGCCCCGCCCCACAAAAAAAGCCATCGACCGTCATAGTTGAATATACATCCCCCAAACTCGTGGCAGATGCGATGGATCGGCGAGAGATCAATTATCCGGTTTAATGTGGCTGAACTTTTCCCTACCGCTGCTAATGACACTTGGCCAGAATCGCAGCTCCAAAAAAACTAGGATGACTAATCAGTAAGTGATTAATGTGGATGTGCTCTTGAAGCTCTTGAAAACCTCCATATTTGCTTCCATATACTATGCACAGCGGATATGCCACATTTATTTACTGATTTGATTTATACTAAAAGCTGATGATGGTGCTTCTAATTTATTCCGAGTTCTTATTATTATTTTGGGGCTGAAGTGCATTTATACCGAGAACTGGCCGCTTAATGAATTCGAGCCAAGCAAAAACTCGCCAGTATTTCGAAATTTCGTAAGATAAAGTAATGTCAAGCGGCAAACCAGTTTTGTAAATGATTTTGCCACTAATTGCACATAATGATACCGGGCTTACAGAGTTGAACGACATTGCACCGAGAATCGCACTAAAGTGCTCTGGATTTCCTATCAAGGAAATCAGAAAAAAAGAGGAAATGCTGCCAAAAAAGAACTATTTAGTATCGAAAAAGATTCTTGTCTTAGCTTTACATAAAATTAGCTCAAGGCGTGGCTTTATCTCAAAAACACCCAACAATCTTTCCAAAGACAAAAAACAGAAAATTAACTTTACTTTAATTTAATATTATATTATTCTACTCAACACACAGAAAATAATATTCAAGGCAGAAGTTTCGCATATTCTAATTCTTCTTTAAAGATAACAAACCATTTGGTGTTAAAGCAAAAACAGTCTGCCATTTGGCTAAAACAAATTATTGTATGGTGTTAACTTACTATTTCAATCCTGCAATTTGTTCATATTTAAAAAACTTTGAACCATTTGTATTAAAACTAATAACGCTTGTTCTTAATTTATGACCAAAAAGTCAAATGAAAGAAATCAACCGTCAACAGAATGATTTATCAGTAGCAGAGAGACTAGTTATACCCTTGCAGGGTATTATAATTTCAGTCAGAAGTTTGCAACGCAGTGAAGGAGACGTTTCCGACCCTATTAAGTATATATATTCTTGATCAGCATCAACAGGGGAATCATTCTAGATATGTCAGGAAGAAATCGATTTTTTGGCCATTTTTGCAAAATTTGATAAGGGGTTACATCATTAAAATTTTTGATTTTGATAAAAAATTGAATTTTCAAAATTTTTAAATGAAGTATGCAGATTTATTAACTGTAAAAAATCTTGCACAGAACAGTTTTCCGATTTAAAATTAATGCTCTTTTGGCCGAGTTATGATATTTTTAATTTAAAAAAAATCAAGAAGTTTTTTAATATAAACAATCCGATTTTATAATACAAAATAATATTTTTCTAAGTCAAGGAATCATTTCCGACCCCATAAACCATATATATTCTTGATCAGCATTAACATGCGAATCTTTCTAGACATGTTCGAAAGAAATCGATTTTTTGGCCATTTTTGCGAAATGTGATAAGGGGTTACATCATTAAAATTAGCAAAAATGGCCAAAAATTTTGATTTCTTAATATTTTAAATTTGGTATGCAGTTTTCTTAAATTGATAAAAACTAACACAAAACTGCTTTCCGAATCGAAATTAATGCATTTTTGGCTTAGTTATGATATATTTTAATTGCTACCTGCAAGGGTATACAAACTTTGGCTGGCCAAAGTTAGCTTTCTTTCTTGTTTTTGTATTGAAAGAAGTCAATATATTTCAATAACAATTGCAAGTAATAATTCTAAAAATACCAATATAATAATAAAAAAATATAACTTCCCGAAAAAGAATTAAAAAAAAATTGTAGTTAAATAAGGAACAAAATGGTCTTAAAAAAAAACTCGGGTGGTCATAATTTTTGGGGAAAGTTTTACTAAGATAATATCATTTCTTTTTAAGATGTAAGATATTTCGTTCCGTTCTTAAAATGATACAATAAGCTCCCCTATGGTATAGAACTCTTTTTTTTTTCTGAGTGAAAATCTTAAGTATCACTTTGATTACTTATAACGTAGATCAATTAAAAATAAAACAGACCTTAGGCTATGCTTTTTAATACATTTATCCTCCCTCTTAAGTACATGTATGTATTTTTGTTTGCCAGCCATTAAAGCAAAATAAACAATTAACAAGCCCAAAGAAGCACAACGAAGTCCGAATACCCTACAAAGGTATTTAGCTTGATTATAATAATTGGTTGGCTGGCAAGTGTTCTCAGTGCCTTGTATAATCGCCACTCGCAATCTCAATCTAACTTCTGCCAAATATGAGATATGACTACTGATCGCAGCTGCTCAACACAACCCATCCCCAATCTCCACGATCCCTAATTAAGTGAGTCTAGTCTGTGAGTCGTGCATTTCCTTTATCCGCTTTATCGCGGGGGAAGATCACGATCCCCCGAGTCCGGAGTCGAGGCGACTGTGGCGAGATCATCGTGTGCTCATTCAGGGGCGCACCTTGCGAGGGATTCCCATGGACGGATGCCCAGGTATCGAAGGCACCTGGCTCAAGAGCTAGTGAGTGTGTGTAGGGAGGAAGGGCGGTTGATAGGTTGGATGAAAGGGCGCCAAAAATGAGGCCCATGTCAATGGGAAGCCCTGCTTTTGTCTGCTTTGGGACGGTGTTGCCCAATAAATGTGTCAAGTGCAGGCGGCGTGCCTCTGCCATTGACGTGGCAGCCTGTACGTCACCCCTCCGGAGAAACAAAAACAGAAACAAAACACACTGTCGTAATATGCACACGTGAAATCGCACACACATGTGTGTGCGAGTGACGTTTGGCAACTTTTACGTGTCGTGTTTTTATTGTCTAGCTTTTTAATATGTTTTTGATAGTTTTTGGTGGTGTCGTTTGCCGTTGTCTTTATTAATATGGCCGAGCCCTGATTGACAGACCCGTACATTTCAATTATTGCTGCCTCTGCCCGCTGTCCCCGGAAAATACAAACTCCCGGCTTTAAAGGTAATCGCATATCCTCCTGCCCGATTAGTCAATCGATGACCATTTACATTGACTGACTTTACTGTAAATTCAAACGTTCAGATAAGAGACTCGATAAAATGGATTGATCAGAAATAAATCAGGCATTATTTGGTAATATAAATCTTTCTTAAACAATAAAATCATAAAGAGAGCTTAACGCTCATTTCACTAGTTTTATGATCGCATTCTAGAGGTTCCCCCTAATCAGTGACTACTGTAATAACGAGCGTGACACAGTTAGCCAATGTTAGGGAACCAATTTGCATTTATCGCTCCGGTAATCTGCACAGGTCGATAATTAACGAGCACGTAAGTACGAGCTTTACTTTGACTCCGATATTTTCATACAATTTTGGTTGCAAAATATTTTTGCATCTGGTTGCCTTTGGTCGCATCACATTATTTTAGCTCGAAACTTATTCAATAAATTTCAAAATTCTTTTGCCTAGACACGTGCAACTGTTTCTGGCTCTACTATTTCCCAGTTAGCATCGCAATGCCTCAGAATTGGGATTAGTTTTATTTCTAGCTCGTAATGCCCAAACAAAGTGCTGCGACAAATTGCCTTTCAAGTGTTAATTTGTGCCACAGACACAATTACCTAATACATTTTAATTTCGTTGAGCGAGAGATGCGACTAAGATCGAGTCGCTCACACTTTGCCCGAATTGCCACTGCGCGTTTTTAATTGCCCCGAGAATAGCTCGGGCTGTTCCCATCTGCGACATCTCTTAAGCGCCGAGCTCTACTGTACAGTGTGCTGGTGGTTGAGTCACTGACTGCAGCTGATTATTCGGCAGCCGAGGCCTCATTCACCGGCAAGAACTCACTCCCAATGCAACACAGAGGCTCTTATTTTATTTTTGAAATAATCAAGCACATAATACAAAGATCAGAAATATAAAAAAGAGTTTTTAAAATTGTTTTTTACTTTTAATTACGG